CCAAAGTAGGTAGTTCACTTGTACGATTGATTATCTGCCTATGCATGAAAAACAAATTAAAGGAACCAAAGAAAGAGTTACTTCCATTTCTAAATTGCTCTAAGTTATCTATCACAAGTTCGCAACAAAGCATAGATCAAACTTTCAACTTTTTGTGTATTTTGCAAATTGAGATGCTTGTTAGTCACCAAAAAAAAGCCCCTGGAAATGGAAACCCAAGTGCCAGGAATTATCCCAAAAAGAAAGAGAGATTAATATGCCGAATGGCTTAAGAGATCATACTGTTGCATTGGAGATGAGTTCTCATAGATATTGATCTCTTTTTTTGTTTTTTTTTTTTTATATATAATATAAAGATTCATCTTGTAAAATATTATCAGTTTTGATTCGAAAATTTTATAATTTTATCTCACAAAAAATATTTTATAAATTTAAATATAAATATTTACTTATAATAAATTTTTAAAATATTTCGATATAGAAGTGTCACATATGGTAAGTATACCTACATATATTGAGATCTATATTGAAGTATATCTTAACCTCAAATCTCAACCAAAATTAATATATATATATATATATATATATACCCTCAATTATTAAAACTTGTCATTGCATGTACAGATGGAGTGTTTGATATAGAAGGTTGTTAAATCTCAAAAGACATCATTTTCATGAAAAATTATATATATGCCAAACTGATCAAGCAATGTGTCCAAATGGGTTTGCCATGAACACTTGGTGTTAGTAAATTTTGCCTCCTAAGCATTGATTGGCCAATACCCCACCACCACCAACCAGCCTACATTTTTCCAACATAAAAATGGATAGTTTTACAAATGCAGCAGATCAGAGCAATGGGATTTTCTCATTTCTCAACTCTCGACAGTCAATAATCACGTTTGTTTGTTTTAGGGGGAAAGACAAAAACAAGAAAACAAAATGAAAAGATGTTAGCCGCAAAGTTTCACTTTGAAAAGAGACTTTTTTAGAGGGTCATCAACTTTAACACCTTTTGAAATTGAGATGACCTTTACTTGTCTCTGATACCTTTTTTTTTTTGAATGTCTTATCTGATCCTCTCACTGCTCCTAGTCTTCGAATTTTAAGCTCAATGGCTTGAACTTGATAATGGCCCTCTGCCTTAGCCTTAGCCTTAGCCTCAGCCATAGCCATGGCCATAGCTTGAGCAAAAATTAATTTGAATTGAAATTCAATGAATTCGATTAATTTGATTTAATTTATTTACTTTTAATTATAATTAATTTTTAAATTAATTAAATTAATTCATTTAATCAATTTTTAATTTTTAAAATTAATAATCAAATTCATCGAATTAATTAATTTATTAATAAATAAAAATAAAACATTAAGGTAAATATTTTTATTTTTTAAAATATTATTAAAATTTTTAATGATTTAATTTAAATAATATTTGAATTTAAATTTTATTGAATTAAATTTATAATTAAATAATTATTTATAATAAAATATAATAAAAAACTCGATTATTTAACAAAATTAATAAAATCAAATTAATTTTAATCGATTAAATTATAATCGATTATTTAAAAGTTTTTTATCTATTTAATTATTTATTAAATAAAAACTAATTAAATTAATTATTAATTTTTTTAAAATTGAACCATCGAACCATTTAATTTCTCACTTTTACCTCACTCACGTACGCCCAAAAATCTATACAAAACAGCTTTGGTGAAATGGGTTTTTCGTGATTTTCTGATTCTGATGAACTGTTCATACAAAACAGATATATCTTACTATATATATATATATATATATGTATGTATAGTAGCTAGATACCTCGTTACGAAGAAGCTCTACCTATGAATGAAGACAATCATCCCATCTCCTACAATACAAGGGCCATACATCCATGCAGCAAGCCTATGCTTGTAAAATTCTGATTCCCTGTGAATCCTCTCTCTCTGTCTCTATCCATATATTATATTATAGGTTTAGCTCGTTCCCAATGAATTTTGAATGATTAAAATTTAAATCATAGGTGATTGATGGTCCTCACTCTAATAAGCCTGTCTTCACATTCACCTTCAAGGGCCAACTATATAGCCTTGGCTGCTTTGATAACCCCAGTTGAAATGTCCAACGATCATCCCCTACCATACATATATTCGAGAAGATTTTTTTTTTAACAATGAAAAAATAAAAAAACATTATTTAAATTTAAATTTTAAATATATAATTTATAATTACATAATTAATTAAGTTTCGAGAATTTTTTTTTCCTGGATTGGATAGTTAATTTTCATGCATGCATTTATATTTGTATTAATCCATATATGTTACAATTCTTAATAACATCTGACCACGTAATGGCTTTAATAAGCCACATATTTTTAAAGCACAAAAATCCTACTTCATTACATTTCCTAATATAGTATTATTTTTTTTTGCAAGAAAAAAATTTAAAAATAGATAAGTTGTTCAATCTTTTAAATTAGGGTAAAACAGATGATTGCAGGTTATCCATTTGAAATGATCCCAACAAATAATCACCGATAAGACTCGAACTCAAGATTTCTTCGTCGAAAAAAATGATTTGAACCAATTGAACGAATCACTTATTGATATAATATTACATATGGTATCATATGTTTAGATTTACATTATTAGATTTACAGTTATTATATGTTGTCAAAAATTCTTTCACAATTATTATATCATCATATATTAATACTTTTTCTATCATAAAATTATCAAATTAAAGGTTTTTTATTTAAAAAAATTCAAATTATCAAATTAAAGGTTTTTTATTTAAAAAAATTCAAATTATCAATTTAAAGGTTTTTTATATTAATTTTTGAATCAAACACTTGAATATAAAATTAATTAAAATTAAAATCAAGAAAATATTGCACAAAGGAAATTCTTCTTTCTCTACCCAACCCCTTTTTCTGTTCTATATGAATGTCTTTTTTTCTTTCTTTAAAACACCAACATGTCATTGATTCCATGAAATTGGTAGTTGCATATATGGCATTGATATGTTTTGATTTTCTTCTTTCCTTTTTTTTTTTTTTTCAATATAGATTTTCAGTTTTAATTAAAGAAGGGCACATTTAATTCAGTTCAAATCTTTTGCTGATTTTGACAAAAGCACTAGTAACATTTATTATATGACTGTTAGGTCTATTATTATTTATACAATTCTCATAATTTTTTTTTATTTCAAAAAACTTAATTCTTTGAATAAGAGTATTTAGTGTATACATATATATATATATATATTTATTAATCACAAAGTTTTTTTTTATAGAATGAAGTAAAAAATTATAAATATTGAGATTTAAATTTTAAATTTATTATTTATTATTTTTTAAAAGTAAAAATAAATTAAATTAAATTTTGGATTTGAAATGCATTTCATAAATATTTTTAATCTATTTTTTATAAGCTAAAATTTTAACTTTAAACTGTCATTATTATTTTAATTATTTGATAGTTAAAAAATGTTCAAACTATGGAGTATTTTTTTTTCAAATGTTAATTAATAAATATTAAATTTAATAGTGAAATAAGTGAAGTTTTTTTTTTTTTTTTGAGACAAAGTGAGTGAAGTAAACTATAATTGAAAAAAAAATCATAAAAATGAAATTAATTAAAATAATATTTATGGGAAGACAGAAATACTTTTTTTTTTTTGGCTACTCCATTAACTATTTCACATTTCACACGCCACTCGCTTGCCCATTTATTTATATTTTCATCAATAATCATCAAACCTATGCCCCTTATTAAGGCTTTTAGCTGTCCTATATCCCTATCTTTCTCAACTATACATGCGTAGCCACTTTTTGTTTAAATCTATTTTCATTTATGTGTGCGGTCAAGGCTAGAGGGTAAGGTTCAAATCCATGTTTATTGAGTGTATTCAAAAAAAAAAAAAAATCGAATCCAAAGTCTAATTTAATTATTATTTTATTAATATAAATATTATTTTTATATTACAAAATTAAATAATTTAATGGGTCACTCTTGATGGGTTAGATCAAATTCGCTTGATACTTTTAAATCTTAAATTTAACCTAATATGCTCAAATAATTAAATAAATTATTCAAAAATTTATATTATTATGTTAATATTTTTAAATATAATTCTAAAATAAATTAACTAAAAAATTATTTATTGATAAAATAATTTCATAATTGGAGCAAACTAAATTTAAAATTATAGATAAAGTTCAAATCAAGTTAATATCACAAATTTCATGAATAATTTGATTGGTGAACAGAATCAAATCAAAATTTTCGGTGAATAATGGGTAAATCATATTATTAACAAATTTATAATTTAGTTTATTCATTCGAATTATTGTCATATATATTATTTTTTCGTCTTAAAATTTTTATTATGTATTAATTTTTACAAAATTAAAAAAGTTTTTTTATTTTAATATATTTAATATTAAGTTTTTTTATAAAATTTAAGTTTTACACTTTTTAATATTAAAAAAATCATAAAAATAAAGGATAAAAAAATGAGTTTTAGATGTTTAAAATAACAAAAATAAGATATAATTTTAAAATATTCAAAAAAAATAGATAAAGAAAATAAAACGGGAGTAAAAATTTTAGATTATTTTAAAAAATTATGTTATAAAAATATCAATAATCAAATTATATAATAATGTGTCATGTAATCTCAACCTTAGCCTCATTGCTTAAGGTTCAACTGTAGGCAGATCAAAGCTTTGGGTTTTTTTCAAATTTTTCTACGTGCAAGCAAAAGCGTAAGATGGTAACCGGCTAACGGCGTCGTTCATGTTCCTGGTCACGCTGTCACAAATAACGGAGTTAGGACCACGTAGTTTTACATACAGTAACAAAAAAGGAAAAAGGAACAAATCTCCACCGTCCAAGATATCAACGGCTGCGGACACATCATCTCCCTCACTCGATCGCCTTTTTAACACTCCCCTATGTCGAAACCCCAAAAATAGCAAAACAAAAAACGAAAAGAGAGCTAATTTTTCTAAAAAAAAAACACAAAGAAAAGAGAAAAAATGGGTGATTGTGTGAGGAGCTGTAAACGAAGTGCAGAAACAGCAGAGGTGGAAGCTTCAACCACAAGCTTCTCATTGTCAAAGAGAAGAAAAATAGTTGGTTCTCGAGAATTGCAGGAGTTGGCGTTAACATCACCTGCCATTGAGCTTGAAATCCCTCGCTCCGTTTCAAATTCGCAGGACAAGCCTGCTATCGTTGCCAGTTCCTCGAATTCCGGTGGTGTGCTCGCCGGCGACATGTGTTCAAGCCGCTGCTTCAGCGAGTCCTCGGCTTCTCGTTGCTCTAGCAATGAGTCCAGTGATATTGTCAAGGATAGCTTGAGATTCGTAGATCTAGAGGTGAATTTCTAATTACCGTTTCGTTGCTCTTCTGCTTTTTTTTTCCCTGTTTGGTTGCTGAGAAAAGAAACATCAAGGAAATGAAGAACGCAAAAGCCTCACTATTCGTCAAAAGATTGCCGTTTCGCATGAGCTTTAATCGATTTTTTACATATTTTTTAGATATATTAATCAATTACCTAATCACAGTTCATGAATGTGATTTTGCAGGCCAAGAGTTTTGAAACTGAAATCTCAACGTGCATCAGCATCAACAAATTAAGGTTAATTTTCACTAATTCCTTCATTAATTTCTACTATCTTTCTTATTTATTTCTATTTCTGTCCTTCAAATTTCAAAAAATAATTTAAGAAGAAAAAAACCGAATCGTTCCCCTTAACTCTCCATTTTATTTAATCTCCATTTCCACCTTGTCTTTTTCAGTAGAGAAACAACTCCAATAAGTGAGCTCTGTGGAGACTCAAAGGAAATGGAATCGCCAGAGAAAAAGACGCCACCATCACCGGGGAAGCCACCGTCACAAGCGGAGATAGACGAGTTCTTCTCAGTCGCTGAAAAGTACGAGCAAAAACGATTTGCAGAAAAGTAAGTCTGTTCTTTCCCCCTTTTTTGTGCGTAGGATAAAGACTGTCACCCAAATGGCGCATTTTAACATTTGTAGAATCAGGAAATCCCAATCTCTAACTAACTAACAAACTTTTTATTTTGTTTATTGTTGCACGATTTTTTTCAGGTACAATTATGATATTGTCAAGGATGTGCCTCTCGACGGTCGATACCAGTGGATTCGGTTAAAGCTCTGAAGACAGTAGAGAGAGGTTAGAGTTACACGAGGTAGCACGTAGATGGCATTTGACCTTAGGGGAATATCTGGTTGTTTGTTAATTATTCCCTTATTTGTATAGTTTTTTTTTTTTTTTTTGCCATTCTCTAATGTGGGAGAATCAATTTGGAAATAAAAATTTACTAATTTTTATCTGTTTTCCTGATTTTGTTGCTTGGCAGTAATATTTTAATCAGTTATATACAAAATGCCTAAACTGATGGCACTCGATACAAGTTTTCAGTATGCAAATCACAAAGAAAGCATGAAACATGAACCTTTGGTTTTTTTTTTTTTTTAGAAAGTGAAACTTTTTGTCCTCAATGATGTTGTTCATTACATCAAACGGGGCAAATGTACAAAAAAATTGGTTCTTTTTATGGAGATAAGGATAACAGAAGAGGAAGAAGAGCGTGTAAATTGGTTTTGTTTCATCATTACATTTGATATTCCATTGAGAAATATTCCCTTTTGGCGTATGGCAACCAATGTCCCTTTTTTATTATTTCTTCACGCTTTCGAGAGGAAGAGGAGAGGGCAACTTTTGGCAGGAAAGTAAATGGTACTGCTACTGATAACCGTTAAAAAGTGAACAAACCACACCTTTGTGACTGAGCAAACAGTGTGCTATCAGCAGCAGCTGTTCATGGCTCTCTAAAAATTTAAAAATAAAAAATTTTCACTAATTTTTTATATATTATAAATGAATATTCCAAAAAAAATTTTAAATCTATCACTGAATGACATTCAGCAGCAGCCAGCCAGCCAGCCAACAGTTGATTTTAAAGAAAAAACAAAAGGTCGCAGAGAAGGGTACTGTCGGAAACAAAGGAAGCAGGTACATTTCACGGTTGATTGGCTTTTCAACGCACAACCCTTTCAGTACCCAATGCTTGAACTTTGAAGTATGAAGTACTAAATATACACATTTTTTATAGAGGTTGGGGGGGGGGGGTGAAAGGTGAAAACTTGAAAAGAGAAAAGAAGAGGGGAAGGTTGCACGTGTAATTGTCACGTGATTCGATCTTTTGGTGTTGGTGCTCAGGCTTTAGCCTTGATGGAGCTCACGCGGGGTGTGACATAATTGGGGGGGGGGGGGGGGTTCTGGTCTCCTAACTTGGTGGTTTGCTTTTGGATCTGATGCGCCTTAATTTTTTGTTGCAGTGAGAGTGGTGGTGGTGATGGAGGTCTGGCCTGGGAATGCAAAGAGTGTTGCTTATTAACGAAAAAGGGAATTGCTTTGATTTTGTTGTTTCTTACGGTTTTTTACTTTTACATTCCACGCTTACAAAGATCACATTTGCAGTGTGATTTTTAATCTGTTCAAGGTTGCTGATTTTCGTGTTAATTTTTCTATCTTTTCATAGTTGTTTATCATAGTTGTTTATTTTCATAGTAAAAAAAATTCATAATATGAAAATAAATAAACAATCTTCGTTCCTATATCAAAGATTCCCATGAAAAATAAAAGACTCCAGCTGAGAAATAGTTAGCGACAAAAGTTACAAAATCTTGGTCGCCCTTGAAAATGAACTACGGATGGATTTAGCTATTCATATATTTGTTTGTGTAATATATTAAAATTTATGTATTTATATCATATTTTACATAAAAAATTTTATATCATAATTCGTGTTGACACAAAAAATATAAAATATATTTTTTAATTTTATTAAATTCATATATAATTATTATTAAAATTTTAAACTTATATCATCTTCATATTCTATTTTTATATTATATTTATTTTATATTATCATATCGTATTTTAAATTTATTAAATTTAAACTGACTCATATCTTTTTTTTTATGTTTTCATCATCATCGTTATATTATTATTATTATTATTATTATTGTTATTGTTGTTATTATTATTATACACAAACAATGCTAGCTGGTGACAAAAACTCCAAGGTTTTGGCCTGCAAAAGCAGCAGGCCAGAAGCCGTTACTGAAGTATTATATCTAAGGTGTCTAGTGCTCTGCTTATGCCAAATGGAAGGTAGGAGGAAACAGCTCTGCTCATGCCAAATGAAAAAATATATATTAATTTCAAACGGTTTGTGTTATCTAGAAATAATATCAATTTTAATTATACTAACAATAACATAAATCTGTATATTACTATTCCAAAGGGAACCTCAGCAGTCAGCAGCTTTCCACTGCGGATGAATATCAATTACATGACAAGAAAAATGCAATATCTACTGTCACTCTTTTATTTAATCTCCATTTACAATAGTTTTATTCATTTGAATATATATTCGAAAAATAATGTAATAAAAATATATATATGAGAATTATCTATTTTATACCTAAGTTTGCAGCATTCATGTCTTACGTGTTGTTGGGCCTCATTTCCTACGTACATAAACCAAGGCGATGGACTTTGTCATGAATGGTCCCATTGGGCCTTATAGCTTGCAAATGCATAGTGTTCTAACTTTTTAGATCCGTTTGATATGAAAATATATATATATATATATATTTTAAGTTAATAATTGAGTTATATAATAATATTAACAAGTAATTGATTCAATCGGTTATATTCATTCTATTTGACGAAGAGTTTTTGAGTTTGAATCATGCCGATGATCACTAGTTGAGGACATCTTGAATACATGATTTGTAACCACCTATTTTAAGTTGTTAGATACGACATATCTTATCATGACTTGAGAAACTAAATAACTTATCTACTACCTTTTGTAGCATATATAAAATTAAATTAAATAAATGCTACGTTACATTACACTGTTTAAGCTTGGTTCTATTACTATTTACATCAATAAATTGTGAAGGGAACTTGTCGCATCAGAACCAAGTCAAATACCTTATCCAAAAGTTTATAAACAAATGGATAGTTAATTATATTTTTCCAAACTAATGTTCTCATGTTTTTATCTCAACACTAAATATATATATATATATCATCTTATTACTTAATTGACCTTAGATGAGCAATGAAGTATTCAATTTAAAATGAATTAGTAATAGTCAATGAGCTCTTGAATTAGTAATAAAAAATAATTCTTAAAATTTTGAGATTTTAGGTTTAAGTTTTATTCAATTTTTTTATTAGATTTGTTTAATTATGTTATGGTTTGTTGGTTGATTTGTTTGTTTGATTATTTAATTATTTCTTATATATGGATATAATACTTAATACTTCTCTTATACTTAATAGTAAATAAAGATATTGCACTTGAATACAAAATTTTAAAAATTTAAAAATTTAAAATTTAATCGAATGTGATATAACATTTGATCATGTGTAGACAAAGATTACTAGACCAACTCAATAGTTTTATAAGACAAGAAGAATATCTAATATAAAACTAATTGATAATAGGTGAAGAAGTCAATTTTAAATATAAAATTATAAAAAATTTATGATTAACAAATGTGAGATAATTGAAATTTAACCATAACTAGATCTATGCCTTTATGAACATCTATTTTGTGGGTGAAATATTATGTTATTTTTATTAAATAAAAATTTTAAAAATAAAAAGTTATAATTATTTAAACATAAAAGAGTATACGAGATATGTAAATATACAATTATTTATATAAATAAATAAATAGATATCGCAATAATTTTAAAAATATTTAAATTCAATTCTTATTTTTAATAAAATAAAAACTTAAATATCATAAAAAAATACATATCATCTCAAATTTTGTCTTATATTTTTAGAATAATTTTTCAAATAAAAAATTTTTTTCGTAAAAAAAATTTTAAAAATAAATAGATTGTTCAATCCTTTAAGTAAGAGTAAAATAATATATTTAAAATGATCTCAACAAGTGATTATTAATAAAATTTAAACCTAAAATTTTTTTATTAAAAAAATAAATTTTAATTGATTGAATAAATCACTTATTAATATTTTTTTAAATAATTTTTTTTCTTAACTCGTGACATTAATTTAGTCAAAGATTTTATAATTAACATTAAATAATAATAAATTTTTTTTGGTATGGTTCTCATATAAATAATAATTATTAATATAAGTTGGAGTGGGTTGTACAATGCATGTAGGTAGTACCCGAAAAGGCAAAAAATTAAAGGTCTTACAATTTATCATAGGAATGGTCAAATACCGTGCCATTACGCCAAAAACCAAATACTTAACCGACGTCGTTCCACGTACTAAAATTAAATCCGGTGCACGATAAAAAATCTTATCCTAAAATGCGCTGGGGTGCTTAATATCCAACGTGGTAGATGGCATCTTTACAGCACCTCCTCCAGATCCACCAATATCACAAATTTTTATTCCACTGATTTCTTTAAAAAAAAAAAAAAAAAAAACCCACAAAAATTCACCAACGAAAATCTTGTTTAATTTCCCTGAAAATTGGATTTGAAAAATCGTTGGAACCGAAAAAGGGAACCCTAGGGATTGAAGTGGAAAGGTTTTGAAGATATATGATGGGAGGTGGAACTGTGTATTGGGGAAGAAAAGAAGCGAGTAAAGAAGTGAAAGGAATAGTGGTGATGTTTGCTTGGGTTTCGATTCACGAGAAACATCTTAATAATTACGTGGATTTGTATTCGTCTCTCGGTTGGAATTCCCTCGTTTCTCGTGCCGATTTTCTCAACGCGTAAGTTTCTTTTAATTTTTTCATGGATATTTTTATTTCTGTTTGGTTACTGAGAAAGTAAATTATAGTGGAGTAAGCTTAATTTAGCTACTTTAATTATCTAAATTTTATCATATCGTTGGAAAATTTTATCTTCTTTTGGTTGGTGGTTCTTTGGTCCTGTCTCATAAAACGGGTGTTTGTAGGTGAGCTTGTGCTTCTATTGAATTTTGATGGTTAAAGTTCAATTGGAGGTCTTTTTTAGTCTTTCTTTTTATTCTTTTCCTGCTAATGATTGTGATAATTGGATTTCTGGGTGTTGGAATGGGTTTATTTTAGAAGAGTATTTTTGCAATTGAAATTTATTGTTTGTGATGAGGATGGGAAGATAGAAGATGTGGGAAAAGTAAGGACATCAGCAAGAAGTTGTTAGGTTTGGAGTTGGGTTTGGGGCTGTTTCTACAATGATGGCTGAAAAGAATGTTCACTAATGATATGAAGAAAGAATTGCTGGCTTACATAGAACGCGTAGAAGAAGTGGCTTGTGGGAGGAGTGGTACTTGTGGGCTATATAAGTTATTTGTTGGTTTTAATGGAGTAGATATTTGACATCTATGGATGGTATTTGTCAAATTTTAGGATCTTGGATTCGGCATTACTTTGCTGCACTTTTAGTAAAATGCTTTCCATGTTTTCTTTTTCATGTATTTTAAAGTTTCATGTTATATTCTTTGTGCAGATATTATCCTGAGAGGGCTATGTCCTTAGCATTTGTTCTTCTAAATGAGCTTCTTGAGGTCAGTTTCATTAAGGTTTACTATTGCCTGAAGATCTCTTAAAAATTTTCAGTTGGCGTTTCCAGAAAATCTTAAACATAAAATACCTGTTGGTTTTTGATTTACAGGAACTAGAGATTAGAACTTGTCCAGTGGTCTTTGTTGCTTTCTCTGGCAGTCCTAAGTCTTGTATGTACAAGGTTTTTCAGGTACAATTATTGAAACTTTAGTTATTATTCCAATTCCACATGAGTCAAACACTTTTTGTGCTTTTATTTCTGTTGTTGCCTTCGAAATAATTTAGCTACCTGTAATGTAGATTATTCAAGGAACAGGTGAAGATCAGCTTAATCTGGTATCCTTTCTTTCTCTCTTAGTTTCTTGTAGTGATTTACTTGTCATTTATAATCCTTTTATAAAATCTCTACTTTTTGTAAATTAAACTGAAGTTTTTTTGTTAATGCTCTTCATTTTGTAAAGGGTGGAAGCCAGTTGATTAGAAATTGTTTTTGCGGACAAATATATGATTCTAGTCCAGTAGATTTTGCAAGTGATCTGAATACCCAATTTGCTTTACATCCCTCCATACGTAAAATGCCTGGACCATCAAAACTTCTTTCTTGGATTGCTAAAGGCGTTGCTTCTGGTCTGGATGGTCTCTATCTAACTGGGTTTGAGTCTCAGCGTGCTGACTATTGGAAGACCCTTTACTCCTCAGTTGTGAGTTTATTAATCCCTGTGGACTATAGCTTGTTAAGTTGTTTTTGGTCTGCTTCCGTTAGTTAATTCTCCCCCCTCCTCTTTTGTAGGACTTAGAGGCTCCATATCTCATTTTATGCTCAGAGAATGATGATCTTGCATCATATTCAGTTATCAGCAATTTTGTTCAATGCTTACAAGATCTTGGGGCTGATATTAAGGTTGTAAAGTTGAATGGCTCTCCTCACCTAGGTCTGTACCCAAACCATCTTTGCTATGTTAGTTGTTACTTCTACCAAGTATTGTAACATCCCTAAGTTATTATCAATTACCATATATAAATATCAGGAGTATTTGCCAATACTATATCATGGTTTTTGCCATCAGCTGATATGGAAAATGCTACCGGTTCAGCAGACCCAAAAGTTGAATAGCCTTGTTTAGCAGTTATGTTTAAGATGAAGTTTTGAGTATTTCTTCCCCTTCTAAATTACAATTTACCATCGGGGTTTGTTATATTTATCTAGTCAATTCAGCCGAAGGGCTGATAGCTGAACGCCACATCTACACATATCAACCCAATATCAAGGGCGTTGTAAGAGTGAATTGGGAACTTAACATCTTATATGATTGATTAATAAGAAAGTAAAGGCATGGTCTGCTGATTTATTCAATAATATGTTTTCTTCTAGATTTAGGAAAAGCGTGGGCACCTTGCTGTAAACTTAAAGTAGCATATTCCGTGTTTTGTACTTTTAAAATGTTCAGTTACTTGGTGTTTGTGACACAACTAGCCTCATGTCATTCTTTGCTTTTTCAGAACACTACAAGCATTATCCTATCCAGTACAGGGCTGCTGTGGCCAGTTTTCTTGAGAAGGCGACTTCAGTCTACTACAATAGGATCCAAAAACTTGGAGAAAGCAATGGTATGCATGATGAGATCTCTGAGTTAATCTGTGGCCTGCAGAAAGCAGCAGTCAACTCTAACCAAAGCCTTAGGAGAGTTGCCCTTGGGCCTAGTGACCACTTTTTCTTGCCAAGTTCAGCCGAATATCACAATAATAGAGAGTCTGGGTCTCTACAAGATGAACAAAGAGAAAGACCATTCTCTCTACCTGTACCACAAAGCATCAATGCTCATGGTGTCCTTGGCCAAATTCTCTTTGACGCTTGTGTTCCTAAGAATATTGAAGGTTGGGATATTAGATTTTCAGATTCTGTAAAGGGGGAGCCATATTCATCTGCTCGTAGGCATTCACGTTTCCTTGGTATCAAGTGCAAACATCGTTCAAGACTGTAATGTCTCTTACGAATCAAATTTGAGGGGAATATTGTTTGGATGATGGTCAAGACATATTGCAAGCAAAACAATCCCATCCAGATGGTGAATGAAGCCTAGTTTCCACTCAAGTACTGGAAAAGAGGCCTGTGGACATTTTTGTGGAAAATTGTGTTGGTTACCTGTTTTTCTGTTTGTTATCTAATCCTCTGGAAAGAAGTGTACAGATAGTGTATGAACATCTTTATTGTATGAGAATATATGTACAGGACTGCTTGTATGTATACCAAGTTTATGAAATTTGTACTACTGATAAGTTGACAGTTCATCTGTGGCTAAGATGCAGTCATGACGATCATTAGATGGACGGCCCTGGAAGAGAGAAAAAGGTCATCAACTGTGCTTGAGTTTGGGGATTTTAAGATGTAAATGGTAAAGTAGTAAGATCTGTAAAAAGATGTTATCTTCACACCTCTTCCCTTGTCTTTGTATTTAGTGAAGCCCTGTTGAGAGAAAATACCAAATAATTTGCACGTTTGTGCTGCCAATGATGCTCCATGGTGAAGACTCTTTGTTTTTAATATAACTGAATACCGACAGACAGACGGTACATGATCTTCGTTACAAATGTGTATATGTCCCTCCATTACTCCAAATACCAATTTGATTGATTAAAATGGACGGCGCTGATACTTCCGACTCTTTCCAAACTTACAAATGGAAGCTAAATTAGGAGGCAACGACCTCAAAAAACGGCTTGAGCCTTGAATCTTTGATATTCATAATTTATGAATCATGATATATACGTATAAGCTAATATAATTTATGCATGTATGTATTCAACGAGATAGAGTGATAGATCGACTTAAGACTGAGGAGTGAGAAATTTTGGGTATGCATTAGTTTCATTTATCTAACACACTTCTGGATCGAGGCTGAAATAGAGAAACAGAGGCATTAGTTGTGGCAAAGTGATGAAAATAATGATGAACATGAACATGAAAATCAAAGTGAAAGAGGATCGGTAGGAGCCCATGCAAATGCAAGGAGAGTCTTCAGTTGGTGAAGAAGAAAATGACAATCAGCCCATTTCTCAACTTTTCCAGCTCCTTCAACAACGCCAACACCAATCTCTTCATTCTTCTTCCCTCCCCATGCCAATGCCCATGGGATCCTCTCTCTCTCTCCACATGCATAAAACGTGTTGTGGTACTTAAGTACATAAAAAAATGCTTTGCCATGGGCATTTATATATGGTTTTTGTACGTAGCTAATGACTGATGAGAGAGTTTTTTAAGTCTAGAGATAGGCATTTTCCCTTTTGGATCCAACGAGTTTCGGAGACTATTTGCTCCTCATTTTTGTAATTTCTTTTTCTTTTTCCTTCATTGTTATTGTTGGTCATCTCCATGTTCTTATCTGCTCTGTATTTCCTTTCAACTGCGTGTCTCTTTCCGTTCAGTTCTGAATGTTTTTTCGTGTTTCTTGTTGGAGGATCATGTCTAACAAACTACCTTTGTAAATTTTGGATATCCAAAATGTTTTGTGGACTGAAGCTGCTGTGAAGTTCTTCATCCTATACTTTTTCTTGTCTAGTGTTCGCTTTAGGAACCATATAGGAAGTGAAAATTTTTTGTCATAAAATTGCTTAAATGCATCGGAAATTAATACCCAAAACTAGAAACCAGATTTGACTTGGCTTCTGCCTTGTCTGGCAAGCTAGATTCATGCATGAATCTGGCTGGTGCGTTCTATTGCATTTTTTATTTTGTGAGTATTCCAAAACTTGAATTGCATTTAACTCAAAGCATGGAATAATGGGCAAGTGGTTTCTTGACAGGAAGTTCATGATTATCCTCAGAAGGCTGCAAGGTTGGTAAAATAATCCGTAACTTTATTGTTTATTGTCAGCATATAAAAAAATTTGCTTTGTCTTTAATCACTGTTGATCTGGTTCGACTTTAAGGTGCAAAAGGAAGAGGCTAAGGGACAAGAATTCCAACGATCATGTTGTCAAGGCGTTATACCAGGTGTCAAAGGAAAGCAGAAGGGGCTTGGGAAAATTCCTCTGTAAAAAAGAGAGCCGAAGAAGTGCAAGCAAATCTATCAGATGAATTCCCTAGTTTTTTTTTTAAGATTATAATACCGTCAATTGTTTTTCGTGTCTTTTGAATGGTAAGTATGAAATGATTACCAAGTTTATGGAGTCCTGGAAAAAAATTGTGCGCTGATTTTCTTTTCCTTCCCCGTTAGTCATTACCTAAGGAATTCTGCCAACAGAATTCGCCAAGTCATGATACGACAGTAATCTTGGTTGATGAAAATAGAAGAGAATACAGAATGAATTTTCTTGTTCAAAGGAGGACGGAAGAAGTTTTCCAAAGAGCATGGTTTACTTGTAGGGGATGCTTTAGTTTTCCATTTGATCAGGCCTTCCAAATTGAAGGTACTGTCTCATACTTTTCTCCATTGTTATATATAAAAATCAATGCGTTAAAGACATTCAAATCCTGTAGAACTTTTGAGATTGATTTATAAAAGCAAGTCATCAAACAATTCGGCTGCCTGAATATTGAATAAAAGTGCATAGATATATGTACTGCTGTGGCTGTTTTAGCACATGCTTTTTTCTTCCTTTTTAGGATAGTTTAGCAGAAGAAAGATGGAACTTTCATTCATGGACTAATGTCGAAATAAATTTTCAAATCGAAAGCTCTTTTTGCCTAATAAAAACCCACAGTGCATGAGGACGCCAACTCTACATATTGGCTGGAGCTGAGCCTCCTCCACCTACTTCAAATGTGTGATTTGTGGGTGTGTTCAAAGCTGTCGTCTTGTTCAAAATTTCCACCATCTCTTCCTTTGTCAAATTTGCAGGCCTGTATTGTGAGAGTGAATGGCTTAGCTGAAGTAGACGCAGCTCTTGGCCTACTTAAATTGGAGAGTAGCGGCATTAGTAAGTCATTTTCTTGTCAACTATGCTTCATTACCATTCATAAGTAGCCCCACAAAGTTGATTCAATGTGATTTTTAACTATTACCATTCACTATCAACTGAAAAAGATCATGCAGGAAAGAATAATACTTTAGAGCCTTTTTCCCAAGATATTAATCAAAGCGAAGTCCACAGGAATAGCTTGTCTTATCTAAGGGCTGAAGAAAATCAATCAGAGAATGGCAGTTTTGGTATTGGCTCCAGTGAAGTGGAAGGCATTAGATCATCACCAGAAGTTATTGCTGAACTCAAACAATTGAAAAGAACAGAGAAATTCACTGTTCTTGTGAATGGTTTGGCCCTAGATTCTAAGCTTTCTAAAAGGCTTACGAAAAAATATTATGAACTCTGTTGTTCCCAGAAATCATAACTGCATGGCAATCTTCACAAGGACATTATCAGTACGTGGACAGCTGATATAATTACTGAGACTGTTAACAGTGGAGATACCATTACAGCTTCTGAGGTTTCAACCCCACAAGCTGATTTTGTGGCTTGAGATAACACTATGAGTGGCTTTGAGCTTTTGGGTATGGATGTTGGTTTTTTTACGCAACAGGGTGCACCGGCTTCTGAGCCTTGCTTTTTAATCAAAAACGGAAGTGAATCAAGGAGGTACAATAAGCCAAAATTGAGAGAGCTTATGCAGAAGAAGAAGCAATATAGGAAATATTAACTGATACATCTTTTTCTTGTTTTACATGGGGAATTAGGTTGAAAATAGATCATGATCATAGTCTAGTGCTCTAATTTTCTGCCTTGTAATTGATTTATGGGCACTGTGGAAGATGGTTGAACTCTCTCTTTGATGTTCTTGACTAAATTTCTTGAAATGGATAGCTCAGAGGTTGAAAATCCAAACGTTAAGCAGCAAAAATGCTGAACTGCTTGAGCTTTGAAAACATAATCCTGAACGAGAATCAGAAGAAAATAATGATGATTACATGTTCTTGGGCTGACTGAGTGGAACCTTAAGTTTATCCTCCAATTTGGAGTCTACTTTTTTGCTTTTTCTAAGAATATGAACTTCAGACTTTCCAAAAAAAAAAAAAAAAGCTTCCGAAATTTTCTTCCGTTGATTACTATGAAATTGGTCTTAAATGTTTTTATAATGGGACAATTTCTACATTAAAAAGTCAATTACACATGATGAGAAAATTATGTTATTTTTTGACATGACATCTTGTTTTCTTGAATGGTTGCATGACTTGACCTGTTCCTTCTCTCTAACACTTAAATTTTGATTTGAGAATGTGAGATAGATACCAAGATAATTATAGAATAACTAATTAAGTAAAATCATATGAGATTTTAAAGGGGTTAATGTCACTAGATATTAAAATATAGTATTTTTTAACATATTATTTAAATTTTAAAAATTTTTAATATCATATTTAAATTATGAATTCATTAATTAATATAATATTTTTAAATTGTTTGTTTTTTATATGTTCTCATTTGAAATTTATCTCATTAAAAATAAATGTCATATTAATTAATAAATTTATAATTCAAATATAATATTAAAATTTTTTAACATTTAAATATTATATTAAATATTTTATTAAAATTCATGAACTATAAGATTCATCTGTGACAAAGAAACTATTTTAATGGTAGTAGCTTTCTTATGCCACTTTTCTTCTCAACAATAAAACAAGATATTCTTTCTTTTAAACCTAATTTCATGCTATCTTCATTTCAAATGAAAATTTTGGATTGTAAAATATATGTATAAAGAATATTGGTAGAATTGCACTTAAATGTGTAAATCTATTATTTAAATAATTTAAAATGAGTTTGTCTAAGTAAAATTTTTTAATTTTACAATCAAAATTAAAATATATTACTGATAATTTCAAACATACCACTAATGATTTTCAAATATATCTAAATATATTTAATCAATGTGTATAAAAACCCAGTCCACATTAAAATTTACTGCTGAAATGGATATCAAAGTATTTTACAGGACTAATTGTGGTGAATTTGGGATGGTTTTTCAAAGCCGTATTTTTATTTGTCAGCTGAAAACAAAATTCTGAAACAAATTGTCTTAATAAACTAAATTTTGGTAAATCTACAGCATTCCTGAAGATCCGAAACATGTTTTAAAACCAAAGATAAGCCCTGAATTAAAATCTTGAAAAGGGCAGCTTGAACCATTGGATCAGCAGGGCCACTTATTCACTTTCTTATGTTAGGACAGGAACATAATGAAAAACGAGAAAAAAACAAGAAACGGTAACTCCTGACTCCTGAAAGACCAAGAACCTGAACTGAACAAACTCCAAAACTTCAAAACAGTGCCAGGTTTGCAAATTCCACCAGTTACCACGCTTTTCCTACTTCTCTCTTCCCTTACATCTGTGATTCAGGTTACTGATTGCTGTGAATCTGTTTGTTCTAGCAAGATTCTACCAAATGAAGTCAATGGGAACCAAGATAGAGGAGCCCCAGATTCCTGAAATGGCTTTGGATCTTGATAATACTAACCCACAAGTAAGATGTTCTTTCTGCCTTGTTTTTTCTCCTCTTTATGTGAGATATGTGTTAAATGTTATTTTCCTGTTTAGGTTATGAAAAAGTTATTCCTGGGTTTTGCTTCACTTTTTGTTCTGTGTCAGCTTCTTGTTTTTGCTCTGGGATTCCAGAGTTTGGTAATTCGGAATTGATTTAAATGGATAGGAAGATTCACAAAAATGTGCCAAAAAACTTGTACATGCAGATGGTTTTTGGTCATCTGTCCTATGTCAGGAGCAACTCTACCTCGACTTGGCTTTTGATTTAAGCAATAGCTGGATCTTTTCCATCCCCGAGATTGTTGTTGTAGAAACAAGACGGGATCGAAGTTCTTTCCTTGGACGTTAAAACACTTAAGCAGCTAAGATAGCTGATGTCTATGAATGACAACTTGAGTAGTATTCTGGTGGTGTGCAATTAGCCATTCCCAGACTTGCTGCTCGATATATTGTTCAGTCTCGCAATAGGTTTCCCTTTTTCGTTTCTGATGATATTCTAATTGTGTCGTACTGTTTTTGTGCCAAGGATTTATTCAGAATTTCTCCAAACTCAAAAGTGAGCCTCTCTTGAACCTCAGGATTGAACATTGGTTGGTCCAGTACCTGGGCTGTAGCCTGTAGCCAACTACTCCTCCAACCCACCTTTCCCCCTAAAGGAAGGGACGGTGAAATGTCCATGGACTGATTAATAAACTGCATTAATGAAACCCTCTAAGTCTTTATGATTAGAAAAAGAGTAAAAGATTGAAATTATGTTTTGTTCCAAGCATTAAGTTTTATTTATCTATGTAACTAAGCCCTTGTCAGGTTCTTCTGTTTCTTTTCTGACACGGGTGTAGTTTCCACGCTTCATAAGGATGCTTGACTGTAATTGTCCAGTTACGTATAATTGCTTTAGACCCATAAGTGACAAGTTCAAAGTTGAGCAGATTTGTCTGACTGTTCAGCTACAAACTTAGATGACCTTCCCAGTTTCTTTTTAAGCATTTTGGTTGGTGTTCTGCACCATAAGTTCAAATGCTAGAGTGACTGGAACATTTTTTATGCAATCAGGAGCAAGTAGGTTGGTGATATCATCTTAAGTCTTCAGTTTCACTAATTAACAAGAACTCGAAGTAGGATTTGCCTTGTGCTTATTCCTCATGAAATGAAACTATAAATAAAAGAATGTTGTGACTGATAATCTGTGTTCGTGTCAAGCCTTCTGTTATGGAGCAAGTGGAGCAGGTTCAAGCAAATCTAGCTGCCAGATTCCCTACCTGTACGAAGACCATGGTTCGCTCAAATGTTAGACATGGATTTTGGCTGGTAAGCTCGAATTATGTTCACAAGTAAAATATGGGATGATAATCCGTCAAGCCAGAAAGCTTCATTCTAAGTCCTAACTCTTATGGTGACAGCATCTTCCTATGCCATTCTGCAAATTGCACATGCCCAAGAATGATACAACACTAATTTTGGAAGATGAAAGTGGGGAAGAATACAAAACAACTTATATTGCAGAAAGGACAGCATTGAGTGCTGGATGGAAAGCCTTCTCTGCTGGTCATAAATTAGTCGAGGGGGATGTTCTAGTTTTCCATTTGGTCAGTTCTTCAAAATTTAAGGTGCTATTTGAATCTTTTCTCTTGTATTCTATGTCATATAATGTTGTTTTAAATCCTTTATCATTTGCTTTAGAGCCTTTTTTTAAAAAGGATAAAAATGAAATATCTTGATCTTATGAAACATTAAGAATCGTCTGTATTGCTGTCTGAAACAAATTGCTTTAGACTGAATGAGTTGCAATTCATTTGAAGTTTTTCTTTTCATTACGTCCTAAACTCAGCAATGGAACTGAATTGACTAATGTGGATATTAATAGAGCAAAATAATCCTTCAGGGTTTTCAAGGAAGCAAGGCTTCCCCTCCCTCCTTTTGCAGCTTTAATTTATTTATTTATTTTTTAGTTCAAAATTTCTTCTGCATTAAGAGGTCAGTAGATTCTCTATGGATAGTTGACTTATTCCTTTTTGCCTTCCATCCCAATCTTGTAGGTTTACATAGTCAGAGCATTCAAATCAAACAAAGTAGATGGAGGTTTTGGCTCACTAAATGTGAATGTTCATGCAAAACCACTTAGGTCAAGTATGTTCTTCTCTCTAAACTTCCTTCTTTTTTCCCTCTTTTTTTCCTTTTACTGAGGTGTAAGTTCCCTAACCTTGTTGATCCAATTGTGTCCACATTTTTTTCCTGGAATATTGAACTTTAAACAACAATAAAAGTTCGCATGAAGAGAAGAAAGAGAACCTCTAATAAGAAGGCCAACTGTTTGGAGCTTCTTCCACTGAACATTCAACATGACAATGGTGAAAATAACAGCCTGATGGTATTAGACACCGATAATGAGCGTTTAGTAGATCAATATGATAATGAATGCAAGGATCCTAGCTCTGGCCTTTTTGATGGAATCCGATCTTTGGCATCCATTATTGATTTTAAAGAGATCAAAAGCATTGACAGTTTCATCATTATAGTGAATGGTTCGAGAATAGACTCCGAGCTTTCAGAGTACCATAGAACCAAGTACTATGAGCTCTGCTGCAGTCAGAATTCATTCCTCCATGATCATCTTCTGGAGAGTATTAGCAGTAAATTGGCAGCTGAAATAATCACACAGACTATTAGTATTGCAGAGGCCATTAAAGCCTGCAAACTTTCCACCTCTCAAGCAGATTATATGCTCTGGGACAAGACTCTGAAAGGCTTTGAGCTATTAGGGATGAACGTTGGATTTCTTCGAGCTCGATTGAACCAGTTGATGACCCTTGCCTTAGAATTACAGGAAGCTGTGGAGTCAGAGAGGTGTAGAGTTAGTCTTGAGCAAGATCACATGAAAGAAGAGAAAAAATCTCTTGAACTGAAGCTTGTGAAACTCAAAGAGGCAATGCATAGGCTTGATTCTGAGATAGAAACCCTGAAGGCAAATGCTGAGAAGCATGAGCTTATATTTCAGGAGGAGGCTAATGCCACATGGTGATTATTGGCTGCCTCATTGTTTAAAGTTATCGCAAGAGATAGTTAAAAGTGTACCAGTTCATGTAAGCTTCTATAAGGAAGATGTAGTAGAAATATTTTCAGCTTCTATTTGCCTATGACAGGACTCCAATGTTGCTTGAGGAAGTTTTTCATGGAAGATATTCCATTTGGCTACAGTGTTAGAGTAGAAGTCTAGATTAATTAATGACTTAATGAATTTGGGTTTTTTTTTCAATGAATTTGATATGATTTCTCCCTTCCTCTTCCATGTTATATTCTCAACCAGAAGAATTTAAAGGCTAAATTAAATTTATTGGATGTCACAATTGCATAAATTAATTGATTAAATTTTAAATTTGTATTAATTAAATTTCTTTTTATAAAAGGAAAAAAAAGATTAATAAATTAACCCAGTGTTAAAAACTTAAAATTCCTCTTATTTTTTTGTTTTGAATCTCTAATTTACATTAATCTTCAATTTAAAATATTTAAAAAAATTAACAGCTAAATGAAAATTTGAATTATCTTTTAATATAAGTTATTTATGAACCAAATTCTATGAGGTGGAATTTAGGCAGGACTGATCACAAAGGTAAGGCTTCAATCTGACAATTGATTAACAAATTTCAAATGAAACTGTCCTTTCATCGTGTTTTCTTCTTTTATGCTACTGCTTACTTTTATCTCTGACTCGCTTCCTATCTTCCATTAAAAATAAAATAAACTTTCTTTGGTTAAGTTCAAATTTTCAAATTCCACCGAAGAATTCCAATACCCAAATACAGCTTTCGAGTGACTGTTGCAACCACCTTTTACCAGGCCATGGCTGTCTCTCCAAAGCAGAGAAAAAGCCCTGTCAAGGTCTCTTTCTCTTTATATTCATTCATCATACATGCATACATACATAAGCATCATCTACATATGTATATTTACATGTATGCAATGGAAAGGAAACATGTTTGTCTTTCTAGGAGTACCCAAGTACGTGATTGCTTTCCCTTTTTTTGGGATATATCAGGTGAAGCGAGGGAGACCACCCAAGTGCAAGTTGTTCAGGAAGAAGCTTTCAGGGCTAGACAAAATCACTGTCAATCAAGTAAGCCTCAATTTCTCGTTTTTTTTTTTTTTTTTCTGTTGAGTTTGTGGTTTGTTTCTTTGTTTCTGTTTATTTTTTACGCTTAATTTTGGACAATGATGGACAATGAACCGATGGAAATAAGTACTATCTGAACATCCTTTCCGTGGGCTGTTTACTGCTTTTGAAAATAGAGCATGTGAAAATGATTGGGTATCTTTTGAAAGAGATTCAAAAGGGCTTTTCAATGAATCTGTAGAAAGTTTTAAGGACCCATATGCTTGATTTTTAGTGAAACCAACTCTTTGATTTCCTACAATGATTCAGCTTCAATCATGTTATTCCATGCTGTTTTAATTCCTCAATGTTGTCAACTTGTTATTAAACTATAGGCCTCAGACTCTCAGTAATGTGTACGATATACTGATGGAAAATTTTATGAATCTTTTGATAGTTAGTCTCTCATGAAAAGGAGAAGGCTCAATGGTATGTTAATGTATTTCGAAATTTCTTTTATGTCTTTGAACATTCTGAAATTAGTACATTGGATTGTGATGATATTGCTTCTATTATTTCCTTTTAGTCATAAACGGAAGAGAGCTACATATAATGGCTTGTATAAAAATGCTGAACTCAAGTCTGCTGTAATGAAACAAGCATTGGAGGTTCAAGCTAATCTATCATCTGAATTCCCTAGCCTGGTTAAATGCATGCATCCATCAAATGTTACTGGAGGATTTTGGGTGGTATAACTCACTTTTGTCATTGCTTTTGGAATTTAGACGCGTTCTACATTACTATATTGATCTAAAGATGTTAACTTTTCCAATGGCAGGGTCTTCCCAAGCACTTTTGCTCGAAGCAATTGCCAAAGGAAAACAGAACGATGGTTTTGGAAGACGAAGAAGGTAAAGAGTTTCAAACCAAATATTTAGTGGAAAAGGTTGGTCTCAGTGGTGGATGGAGAGGGTTCTCTATTGCTCACAAATTATTGGAGGGAGATGTCTGTGTCTTTCATTTAGTCAAACCCTCCAAATTTAAGGTAATTGTTTGAGCCGTCTTGTTCATCACATATCTGACTTTTATGAATAAATTTGATGGAAGGACATATTCTAAAAAGCTATATGTTATCTTTTTCTAATCACAAATTTTGCATGAGTAGTACATATTGCTAATCTTGCAGGATACACTTTTTGATTATTTGGTTGAATTTTTGAACTTGTTCTTTCTGGACAAGTAGCAGAGGCCTCAGGCTTTATGCTCTAAGTATTGATATTCAGTTTCTGGTGGTATTTTACGTACTTTACAGTGGATGAAACCACCACATGTTTAAAGCTTTAACCATGTGCTTGATTACCTGCATTATTTAGGTGTACATTGTAAGAAGAAAAGGTTCAGATGAAGTGGATGTTGCTCTTGGCCTTCTAAAATTAGAATCTTCCACCCAACAAATTGAACTTGGCAAGTCATTTCTATCCCTGTTAGCAACTTTTTCTCCTGCCATCAATTGTAAGTTGTAACATACTGCAATGCTACGTTGTTAAGGTTTCTTTTAACGTTTGCAGAGAAGGAACCCAAGATTTTTGTAAAAACAAGAGATAAGCCTTTGGAAAATTATGGGATGTATGAAAATAGGATTTCTGTAGAAAAAACAGGTAAATTTTTGGAGGTCCTTCCACTGGATATTTCTGAAAAAGCTATTCAAAATGATAGACTGGATCTTGGATCTGAAGTTTTGGACAGTATCAAGCTTTCTGAATCCATGATTGATTTTAAAGAAGTGAAGAATTTTGAGGATTTTAACATTCTTGTTAATGGTTTAATCATAGATTCTGAGTTTTCCAAATACCTGAAGACAAAGTACTATGAGCTTTGTTGTAATCAAAAGTCATTCCTTCATGAAAATCTTCTTGAGGGACTTAACTGTAAATTGGTTGCTGGAGTCATTGCTGAGACTATCAATATTGCTGATGCCATTAGAGCTGCCAAGCTTACAACGTCCCACCACAGTTTTCTGACTTGGGGCCAAACTTTGAAATCATTCAAGGGGTTGGGCATGAAAGTTGGCTTTTTAAGTGCTCGGTTGGACCAATTGATGAACCTCTCCATGAAGTCAAGGAGGTACCAAGAAGCTAGACTTGAACAAATTAATGCAAACGAGAAGAAGAGGAAACTTGAAGCAAAGCTTGTGGAAGTAACCGAGGCACTGAATAGGCTTGTTGTAGATATAGGGTCATTGGAGGAGGAGAATGCTGATAGGCTTGAGATTCTGTTTCAGGAAGTGGCCAGTGCCCCTCGGTGAAAGTGGACAGTTTAGTGTTGGTGGGTTATGGCTATTGTGCTGGAAACAAACTGAGCTTCTGTTTTGGAAGAAGTTCCATGTTCCATAGTGACGGGAAATTTTTGCGGATCCCACGCACAGCAGCAGATAGTATTTTGTGAAGAAGATAGTGTACATCATCAATCGATATACTGCTAGTATTTTTCTGAAGGAGATATTATATTATATCGTCTTCAGGAATTCCATTTTGTAGGCTTTTGAATTGCCATGCAGGAAGGCAATTACCATCAAATATGAAAGTCTGTTGTATGTTTATAACAGATGAAACCGATAACTGAAGAGCAGCTTTTAGCGTATTGATGTAACCATGTTCTCTTTTGATCTCCGTTTTCTCTTTTCTTACTCCTATCTTCTCTTTTTCTGCTGCTGAATTTTCTCCTGTTTGTCTTGGCATTATGGTGTTGAGAGGATTCTCAAACCCAAACATCATCCTTTTTTCTGGGTTTTCTTCAGGAATTCCTTTCTGTAGGCTTTTGAATTGCCATGTAGGAAGGCCAGTACCATCAAATATCAAAGTCTGTTGTATGTTTATAACTTATCGAACTGATAATTAAAGAGCAGCTTTTAGTGTATTGATGTAACTATGTTTTCTTTTGTTCTCCATTTTCTGTCTCTTATCTCTCTTTCTTTTCTTACTCTTATCTTCTCATTTTCTGCTGCTGAATTTTTTCTCCGAAACCCAAACATCATCCTTTTTCTGGTTTTTCTTCTGGACAAACCAATAAAAAAAAAAAAAGAACCTTCAGCTATGGTGGAATCAAAGTCAACATATGAACAAATGCTATAAAAGGAGATTGGAGGAGAACAAGAAAAGGTCGGAAGAGCTCCATCTCAAGATTTATAATTTCTCACTTCCAATATGAAGGTTACAAGGCAAAAGTTGTTAACTTACATGGTAAGCTGAAACATGTCTTTAAATAAATGGTCTTGGTCTTTTGACATTTGGATCTTTACTCTTCTGTAAATTATGTCGCTTTTTTCCATAGGAGCATATTGTCAGCTCAGGGCGTATGAGTCACAAGACAACGGAGTTGGTGAAGATGGAGAAGATGACAAGGAGCCAGACGTCCAAGTTTGGACACAAGCGCAATATCGGACCCGAGCAACTACTTTCTACTCCTAAACATTTCAATTTATACAGCATGTTCTAGACGTTGTTTTCTAGCAAAATGTTGGATGATGATGCGTTAATGTAACTCATTCGGGTTTCATTTTGATATGTCTATGTTCGCACCCTGATTTTAAACTGGTTTTTGCAGGGAAATAATAGATTTTCTCCAGCCAAGCAATGGGACAAAACTAATGTTCTTTTGTTCAGTTAAAAATCATGCAGACATTTAGCTGATGATGACTTGTATGGTATTCACTACCTAATTGACTCTTGTGGATCTTCAAAGTGATCAAATCTAAGATTGTTAATCCGAGATTGGTTGGCATCTGTCATTCCATGCACAAGTGATTCGTATGGGATTTAACAGTGATATCAAATACATTTTCTGTAGTACTACACATAATTCAAGGACGTGTATAGTTATCCACAGAATTTGTCTGATAAAATACCAAAAAAGAGAAGTGAATGTCATTTAGGTTAGATACACAATATTTCCTCCATTCCAAACCAAGTGACCATTTTGTTGGAACATAATTCTGCTATCTCAGTAGAATGTTTATATTGGTATGAGATGCAAAGAACGTAGGACTTTATCTGGAAGGAATGAAGGATGATTTCATTATCTTCACATTATAACTTAGCCATTTGCTGTTCAAAGGTTGGATCGATGCAGACGACCACCTATAGAATTTAACAGTAATATAAACTCATTAGGGGTCTAGTTGGTTTGCTTGTATGATCATTTTATGCGGATCGACTGACTGAATAAGTAAATAATAAAAAATTTGTGCTCACCTTGCCGGTACTTTTACCCGAATGCAGATGCTCAACAGCATCTGCAACAGAATGCAAGCCCAAAAATCTTTTTGGGTCTATTGCAACCTATTACAATGGAATTAGAGCATTTTAGGAATTAAGTCATGATGAGTAATCAACTCAAATATTATCAAAAGGGAAAAAAAAAAACTATATATTTGAGCAGAGAACTGATAATTTAATTTAAACCATCTTATGCACACTAAATAGATAGAAACTTAGGCTGAAATTCATATCATTTGAGATAAAAGTATGTCAAACATAAAACAGGATATGTGCATTACCTTAAGCTTTCCGGAAGAGTAAAGATCAAATAGTTTATCCAGGTGTTCTTTCCATAAATGGTTATATTGTATCAGGAAAAAGCCAGCCTGAAACGAAAGCATTTTCAAAACAATCAAACCACAAGATTTCTCGGAAGCTATCACCATAAGACAAGATAACTATCACTGGAAAACAGGTGAAAGGAATTCGCTCAACCAGTTATCGTCAATATATTTGAATTTGGCTACTGTGTTGGCTTTTTTATATTCTTAGAAGCTAGTCAGTAGTTATTACAAGATTCCTTTTTCTCGTGCACATGAAGACATCATAATCAAAGGACAGCTTCTAAACAGCTTAAAGTTTAATATTTACCAACTACATACCACAGTTTGGCTTTTGGACAAAAGCTTTTCAACAAGTCCAGCGTAATTTGATGGCTTCCATCCATGCTCCCCTTGATACTATAAAAAAAAAAAAGTTTAGTGACACACTAAATATGAAGTACAACCTCAGAAGCTATAAAAGTTGCGAATATGAAGATTGGATTTAGTTAAATCAACAACTCACTAATAACAACATTATGTAAGATTGGGAACATATAGTATGATAATTCTCTGACAACCTACAACTACTGTATCCATAGCATGGAGAAGCTTAGAAAATAAACAAAGTAAGAACAACAGTAAGTTTCATTTATAAAATTTTAAGCTCATTATGAAGAAACAACCTGAGAGATCATTCCTATCACAATGAGTCGTCCATGGATAGCCAAAGCATTAAAGCACAAATCAAACATGTTCCCACCAACAGATTCGTAGATGATGTCAACTCCTTTAGGAAACTCCTTCTCAAGAACCTGGCAGACTACAAAGTCAGATGTTCCTTCTGGGAAACCAACCAAATGGAGAAATTATCATGTGGTAGCATGACAAGGCCTTTATTCATAGCAATCAAGATCTTAGTCATGCAAAATGTGTTTAGATCTATCTCAGAAGTTGGGGCATGGCATGGCATGGATAAACATTAAAGGATGGCAACCGAGACCTTTAGTAATGGAAAAGTTGTTGAGATTAATCTCAGAAGTCAGGCAATGGATGATGATTAAAGGATGCAGTAGGTGGAAAACCAACTAAGAAGACTACATATATAGACTACAATCCCTCTTAACTGAGAGTTCAAATGACTTCAAGGATATGATACAGAGACAATGAGATACAACAGTATTTATTGTTAAAGAACCTTATAATCCAAACTAATTGAGATAAACAGCTGCAACTCATTTAATCAAATTTTATTCACTAAAATAATTCTTTGCATCAAACCAATGAATTTAAGGACCCAATTTCATCTTCCTAACCTGAACAACCTCCCTTAAAAAAAAGGGTAGAATGGTGGAAAAAAGAATTATTCAAAATACGAATTTCAGATACATACAGTTTTGACATCTTCAATTTTATAGTCTATGACTCGATCAACCCCCAATTCTTTCAAAAGCCTTGCCTTTTCTTTTCCCCCGCAAGTTGCAACAACTTTATTTCCTGCCTGTTTTGCAAGCTGCACAGGTCGTTATGATTAATATTTTTGCTTACTGCCCAAAAAAGGTGGGGATAGGAGTATACAAAAAAGATAGAAAATACAACCATATAATAACATTAAACTGGAAAGGTACAAACCTACTTGCTCTAGAGGAAGGAATTATAATCGTCATATAAAATATATCTTTGAAGATGTTTTGGTAAATAAATGAAATATAATAATTCAATATGTATAAAACTAAGATTAGCATGGAATAAAAATACAATAAGATAATTAAAAAAAAAACTAAAAAAAGCAGGACTTTATTAAACAAACAATAGGGAAAAAACTAATTCACAATGTTTAACTCCAGATTAAAGTTGGCCACTATGGAATACAGCTTGTAAAAATTCAAGTAATGGAGAAATATCATCTCATTTTAACACAAACCTGGACGGCAAATTGTCCGGTCCCTCCAGCAGCAGCAGTTACGAGGACAATTTTTCCAGATTCCATCTGACCAACCTATAAGGTCAAAAAAGGGGGAGATAGAAAATGTTTCACAGAAAACAAAAACAGTCTCAATGGAGGGCTACAATGTATAGTTAGAAAAAAGGAACAAAGAGGACAATATGGCCACAAAAAGTTACAGGGAGAAGAATTTAGACACATACAATATATAACAAGGGGAAAAAAAATGGTGAATGACAAGGGGGTTGGGGAGAATGGAAAAGTTTAAATCCAAATAAGAAAAACTGCAATAACAAGGTACCTTTTCCAAAGCGATTGATGCTGTTAGTCCTGAAGTAAGCATAGCAACAACTTCTGGATCAGGTCTTCCAATGGGAAGTATGTGCTTTGAAGGGACCTATGTTTTGTATAATATCCAATGTTTATTAACTTAACAATTTAATTACGATTAAGAAGGAAAAAGGCATGTAAAAAAATAATGAAATTGATGATGAAACAAGATCTTTATAAACATAATAAATAAATAAAATGGATATCATACCGTTATAAATTCAGCATAACCTCCAAAAGTCATGACTGCAGCAGGAGTTCCGACTTTCAAACTGCTTACAGAATCTCCAATGGCGGCAATTATTCCCACTGCCTGTGACAGCCAAAAAAAAAAAAAGCACGAAGTTAACTAGATATCACATGCAGTGATAATTTTAAAACCAATAAACCATAGGATATCAGGTTAATTGAACTATATTACCACATTTTGGCATCTAGTTAATATTTTTCTCACCTCAAATCCAGCATCAAATGGAAGAAGGGAACCAAGGTCTTTCTTGTTTCCTTGGAAATAACGACCTGAGCTAAAGTTCACCTGTGTGTAACATGTCATTCGAGAATATACAAATAAGTACATTGTATATAATTACTCATCAAAGAGACACAAAACTTATTGAAAAAAGTCAGAAGATTCAGCATGGTAAAAGATGCAAGAAAATGGACAGAATTAACAAAGGAAAGAAGTCATGAGACTTCTTCTCTTTCCTACCTCCCCCACACCGTTACTATCTCTGTAGGGAAAAGAAAGATAAACCTAACTGCTATTGTTTTTTAATAGTATAATGAGAATAAATAGGCAGTTTGCTAGCCATTTCCCTTCTTACTTCCCCAAGCTTCTCCATCCTCCAAATGCAAAGAACCCACAGCCACTAGTTCCAAGTGATCTCTTTTTCAGTTTTGCTCCCCTTGGCTTGAAAGTGTTCTGAAATTAAAACTTGAAGAAGGAATTCCTTTCTTTCATCCATCTCCTCTCTTTTATTTTCTTTCAAAATATCTACAACCCAGCTTTCTCTCTCTCAATATATATCCTACGTTGTTAAACTCAATTAACGCTTTTCTTATTCCCCACAAACCAATGCCAATGCCGTACTCTCAAGAACATGTTAAGATGCCAAATCTCTCCTTATAACTTCATGATTTTGGGTTATCATCCAAGCCTCTTCAATTATTTCAACTCTCTTAAATCACTTACTTAAAGGTGATTTCCTCATCCTTTATTGTGCTTGTCCCAGCCATCTAAGCTGTGTTTTCAATTTTTTCTGAATTGGGGTCATCTCTACCTTCTTATATATACTTGATTTCTTAAACAAGATTCTTACACATCTTCGAAAGAAAGAGGAAAAGTTGAGTTCACACAAGTATTTAATTAAAGAAAAGGGAAAATTAAAAGAAAAGACAAAAGCAAATTAATCATATAAAAGGATACCAAAAAACTTACATCACTTGCATTTACACCAGCATAAATGATTTTCAGAAGAACATGGTCTGGTTCAATAGGTAGTTTCAATGGTACACGTACTATACGGGTAGCATCTCGAAAATGGTGACTCAAAGTATGCACAACACTGGAGAGGAAAAGCAAGAAGACACTGGTCAGTAGCTGTAAGAAACTAATAAGCATACATCCTACCCTTCTAAGACGGTTATGAATAATTAGTAGAAAAGAAAGTTGACTGAAAAACATTTATGTATGCTTGCTTCTATGAGCTGAGAGTTTGAGATTAAAGCAGAAGAGGACCTTTTAAACAAACAAGACAAATGATAGTTAAAAAAGTATTGCATTAGTTAATTGACCAAGGCCAATTGACCAAGGCCAAGGCCATAAATGCTGTAAAGGCAATTGACAGCACATAGCTTATGTGGTAAGTGCCCCTCATTATTCAGCCTGCCAAGGCAAATTTAGCAGTTCACCCTCTCCACATTTTCTGAATTATGCAGACCTATCTTTCAAGATTTATTACATTTCACCTGCCCATCAATTTTTATTCAAGATTTATTACATTTCACCTACCCATCAATTTTTATTCAAGATTTATTACACTACACCTATCAAACTGTCTTTTTCTTCCTGAATTTGTTTTCTATCTTTCTTCTTTTCTTTAGAATGGAACTTAATATTAGATTAGTGTAGACTTCCGGAATAAGGAGGTATAAGATTTAGGGATGCACCGGAGACAGTGGTTAGAGTTTCCTGCCACTGACAAGTGAGAACTTCTATATTCTTACCCATAATCGTAGCTTTCTGCAACCATGCAATAACTCAATCTAGGTTTATGCTGGCCAACCCAAGAATTTTAACTCCCCTTCCTCTCAGCTAGTTGTACTTAAATTTCTCAAAACTGAAAAAACTTCGACATTTTACTTACACTTTCTCAAAACTCTGAGGAAGTTGGGAGCTTAAAAGAGCTTGGAATGAGATTTTCTTTGTGGAACTTGAGGAAGAATGAATCATGTATTTTGCTTCTTCAGTTGGACTGGGCCAATACTCTATGCCTCTGCGGTTTGTAATGCATAGGCAAGAACCAGCTCTGCTCTCGTCCATGATAAGCTCGAAAGCACCTAGAAGTACACAAGTGCATAGAAAGCAAGAAATTAAGTTTTTCAAAAGGAGAAGAAGAAGAAAACCTTGAGGCAGAACAAGAAGTGATCTGACATGCGGAAACTCAATTTTAATTTCATTGTTTATCTATCTGAAACTTTGTCGATTGCAAACCTGACAAACATCTGAAAAAGAAAATGACAACTAGAGACCTAACCAATAGTCTTTCTTTCTATCAGATAGAGCTCATCTTTAATTGGACCCAAATAAATGTACTGATAAACTCAACAGGGAATGCATTATGATGTTTACTCTCTTGTACGATTTATCAAATCACCTTGCTTTTATACTTCGGCATTGCATAACAATAAAGAAGTAGAAATGACTTGGAACATTTGTCAAGCATAGGAATTCTCGATCTGGAAGACAATGTAAGAATTGCCTGACGCTGATTGCTCTAACTAGGACTCCACTGAACATAGACTATTCTGTAAAAGATATATACCTTTCACCACCATTTCCATTGGCACAAAGCCTCCCGCTAGAGAAATCAATAAGGGGCTCACTTTTTCTACCATCTCTGTTTGAATAAACTACGTCCAAATTCAAAAGCAAGTTATATAAGAGAAATATTTTGTAGAAATAACAACAGCCTACAATTCCAAAGAAACCACCCCAAACACCCCCCCCCTCCAAAAAAAAAAAAAAAAAAGTAGATATTACTAGCAAAAACAAATCAGAAAAAACTTTTATGGCATTGCCAGAAGGCTATGCTGATTGAGAACATCCAAACTTCTTCAAACTAGACATTTACCTCAGGGCAAAGAACATTGACACGTATTCCTTGACGTTTGTAGGGAGCCAGTGCTCTAGAAAACATGACAACACCACCTAGAAAACAAATATTTGAAGCAAATGGTCAAATTACATAAATGTGTTACCGGCAAGAATTATATGGAAAGATCCCTTTTGCTTAGATCTTTATTCAGAGTTCAGACCGACAAATTCTTAGTATGAATTGATGATAATCCATGACGCGTTATCCATTCGTTATAAGATATTTGGATTATTGTGTCTGTATATACGCAAGAGAATGATTATAAGCTAACTTGAAAGATCAATGAATACTATCTCACTGAGGCAAAATAAAACTGCAAACCTTTTGAACCAGAGTAGATAGGGTCCTCGTAAAATGGGTGAAGACCTGCAGAGGATCCCATATTGATTATCACCCCTGGCTTTTGCAGAGCTTGCATAGCTTTAATCTGTTCAAAAACTCTAAACAATTATTCATTGCTGCACTTAGGACTGTCAGCAGGCAAAATTGAAGAAAGTCCAAGTGGAAGCATTACCGCGAGACGAGTGCAATCAATAACTGCAATGAGGTTGACATTAACTGTACGTCTCCATGTCTTAGTGCCATCAGTTTGATCCTTATAGAATGGTACTGGATTAGTGATGCCGGCGCTGTTAATACAAATATCCAATCCTCCATATGTTTCCACATGCTTCTCAAATGCTAAAGTTATATCTCCTATTCAAACAAGAATCAAAAGGTTTAAAAACAGAAACAACCCCATCTCTAACCAGTTGACAAACAAGGATCAAATGGAACTTACTTGGGTTAGTAACGTCACATTTCACAAAAATAGCAGAAGGAAACCCTAACTTCACATGGAATTTGGAATTCTCTTTCTCAACCAGACGTGCAACTTCCTTCCCTTTCTCTTCAGAGAAATCTACAATTGTCACAAATATCCCTTTCCCTGCCAGAGCTAAGCTCAAAGCTTTACCTGCACAAAATTCAATAACAACAAAAAACTCCAAATAAATTGAAATAACCCTATCTCGGACGAAAATGATAGCAAAAAGAAAGGAAAGCTTTGGAAAGTTTTACCAATCCCGGAAGCACCGCCAGTGACCAGAGCTGATAAGCCAGGTTTAAGCTCCATTTTTCGTTATCTTTTTTTCCTCCGTGCTTTCTATTTGAAGTGAACAAGGAAAATAGTCTTGCCAATTATTAGGATTTGGGCAGTGCTAATTTTCCTAAAGCGTTGTCTCTGTTCCAGAAAAATACTCTTCCCAATTATTTAAATAAGTAAAGGTCACAGTCATTCGCACAGATAAGACGATGAAACCCAGGCTTTCCTGTCTTCAGTCCCATCCTCTTGAATTTCACGACAATCCAATTATCTATATGACATGAGGCGATAGATTTCTTGTCCCCGCGTGATATATGCACGTTGAAGATGCAAATGTGTTGCTGATTTGATCATAATAGACCATGTGTTTTTCGTGTTCTTAATTTGGGTAATTCTAAAACCATTATCTTTTTCTTTTTACATCCATCCGTGCGTTCATACTATAAAATTTACTCTTTTTTACCACCTTTAACCATCCGTAAAGCCATCCAATGATATTCCATCAGGATTCTTCTTTTCATTTTACAAGGAAGTTTTAATTTTTTTTCATTAAAAAAAAAAATAGAAAACAAGGTGGGTTGGAGAGGATAACGATGAAAACATGATAAGAAAAAAAGAAATGATTTAACGTTGAAAAAAGGTATGACTTGGAGATTCTGACGGAAAGATGATAAGTATGATACACTTAAAAAATAAAAAAATTTGGTCATAACATGAGCAGCCCCTCTTTTAACAAAATTATAAAATATGATATGAATATAAAATTATATATTAATTAATATTATAATAAAATAATTAATTAAATTTTTTAATTTTTAACTTAATAAAAATATAATTATTTTTAAATATTTTAATTGGATATAAAATTATAGTATATATACAAAAACATATTTATGTATATTTAATATTTTTAAAATTTTAAATTAATTAAAAATATAGTAACTTTTTTATCTTAATATTTAAATGAATATATATATAATTATAATATATGACAAAAATATATTTTATATATTTATATTTTCTAACTAATTATAAGTTTTTAACCAATTATTTTTACATATTAAAATTTTCTTTTAGTTAATTATTTTTTCTCATAATAAAAAATATAATATATATTTTATATATAATTATAATATATGAAAAAATATATTTTATATATTTATATTTTCTAACTAATTATAAGTTTTTAACCAATTATTTTTACATATTAAAATTTTCTTTTAGTTAATTATTTTTTCTCATAATAAAAAATATAATATATATTTTATATATTAAAAAATTATTTTTATGAATTATTTTTTATCGTAGCATAAAATATTAAATATTTATATTACATTATCTTATTTTGTAATTTTCTTTTTTATTTGTATTTTTTTATTATGATTTGATTTTGTCACTTGCAGAATAAAATTTCTCTTACTTTTTCCCTTTCTTTGCTTTGAAACTCTACTCTTGAATTTTTTTTTTTTTTAATTTCCACTCTTAAAAAAGGTTATAGGGTAATTTCCTTTGAATTTTTTTTTGGATTCTCCGTTTCTTTCAATTTTAATTCTAGCTTTTTTTTTTTGTTTTACATTTATTTATTTCTATTTTTTACCTATGTAAAAGACATATTTTTCCATTTCTCTTTGTGATCAAATTACTATTATATCTTCTAATTTGTTGGTGGGGTGGGTTTCATCATCGTTTCAATCAAGGTCAAAACATCATAGGATGGTTGAATCTATGTTTTCCATAATGTACCAAATCATAAGCTGAAATTATGAATAGATTGTGCCATAATGCTTTTGAGAAATATAAACCAAACTTTTGGATTATGCCATGATACTATAGTATTAGTTACATAATTAGTGTCAAATGTCATAGGAATTAAGATTATACCTAATGAAAAAGTCTTCATTCCTAAGATCATTTTGACAACCAAAGATAGTAAATGGCATTTTCTTTTTAATAGAAGGCAATTTTCAGTTAAATTGTGATAATAAACAAAAAGCCAAGACCAAACTCTAAACACTATTGATCTATTTTTGCCAAAAATTATTTTTATACATGATCAATTATATATTGCTCTATCGCGAACAACATCCCAACAATTTATGAGTTAATGTAATATTTAATTTTTTTCGTAATCGAAAACAATGGATTGAAATATCTATTGATATTTTTACAATAAGTATTTTATTGAAGGCTTAAGTTATTACTCAACAAAAAAAAATTGAATTTAGTAACAAGCAAAATCAATTCAAAAGTACTTTTTTTCATTTTTCATAATATAACAGACAAAATTTCATTGGTGTAATTTTGGATCTTTCAATCCATTTTTTCTCTATTTATTATACAATCATACGAAGAGAAATAATATTAATTCGATTTTTAAATTTATTTGTGACCCACGATGAGCTATATAAATGAACATAACCAAGCGGTTAATGAGACAAAAAAATGTTATCATTATCATTATATTATTGTAAAATAAAGTTGAACATTATCATTTAATAATTAATATTATTTTAAAACTCTAATTATATTATCCATATTAATAGTTGATATTGCTTTGATAAATAAATTTATTGTCCGTGAATGTTTGTACTTTACGAGGTAGGATGTTTACACTTTGCCCCAATAAATTTACCTATAAATTTATCAAATTAAACTCATATGAAAACGTGAGCATGTTTTTAATTTTTTTTATTTTAATCTTTTTTTAATTCGGAATTTTTCATTCTTTTTTCTTTCATCGAAGAGAAACAAAAGGGGTAGTCTTCAATTTTCTTGGCTTTTGCGTTATGTCAGTCCGATGTTACGTAGTTGTCGGTGTCGGAGTTTGGGTGGATTGAAATATGGGAGTGGCAGTTCAAATCAGACCAGAACTTTAGTTTTCCGAGGCTTGGTTGTCGGGCCCGCCCAGCTTAGATGAGTGACACTTTGGCCCTTTTTTTTTTTATTGTGAAATTTTGCAATATTTTCTTTTCTATATAATAATGCTACGTAGATTTCAATTCTTAAATCATGGAAACAAAATTATATATTTTAATTCCTCTATTTAACTATTATAACCTTCTAAAAACAACCATTGTTTAAAATGATTTGAAAATTATTTTATTAAAAAAATATTTGAATATTGGTTCTAACACATTTATATTTTTCAAGAAGCAAGTTTAAATTTTTTATTTAAAAATCAAAATATCATTACAAAAATAAAATCAAACAAATTTTGTGATATTTTTTAATCATATCATTAAAAAAATTAAGACATTTTGCAATCTAAACTTCATATTTGAGTGCATAATTTTTATTAAAAGAATTCGGATCCAACTAGTATTTAATATCATACGTTTAATAAAATTCCATACTAAATATTGAATCGAATGTTAAAGAATATACATAATTTTATTATTATCCATTCCCAAGCTATATTAGATTTAAAGTATCTATTTGGTGTATAAAATTATAATAAGATAAGATGATATTACAAATGAGATTAGATTAAATAATATCATCTTATTTTATGTTTAATTCATACAATAATTAATATATGATAATTTATTTATTTTCAAAATTATTCTTTCTCAAAGTTTTTATAATTTAAATTATTGATATAATTTTTAAGGGCATAATAGATATAATATGATATATAAATTTAATTATATAGATTATAAATAATCTTTTTTACTTAGAGAGAATTGAATTATTTTATGTCAAAAAAATAATTAATTTTTTATACAATCTTATCTTTTTTTTTTAAATAAAAATTAAATATAATATAATATAATTATCATTTTATATACTAAATATTACTAAAATATCTTATATCAATAAAACACAATATTTAGGTTTTTTTCTCAATTGCTTGTCGTTGTCGTAAGTCGTGGCAGGGTTATTCTTTTCCCTTTGAACGTTGAAGGAATCCTTTCTTTAGAAGCAAAGCTGAGACAAAGATGCCTGTGAGTAACTTTTAAAGGAAGGTTTCTCTTTTATCGTCGCTGTATGATAAACGTTGCTAAAGAATGATTCAAGCTTCTACGAAGCAAAATGTCCACTTTCCAATTTCAACCAAGACAAAAAGAGAGAGATGGACTTTTCGTTTCAATAACGTAGTAACTAAGTAGACCAGAACCACCCAGTCCACTTGGATTGAAACGATGAAAAGATGTCAAAATAAAGCGACAAAAAACGGTGTCGTTGCTAATATTCTACAAGTTGCTATTCTTGTCGTGAGCACGACAACATTCAAGGCAAATTTGTCTTTTTGAAATGATATTCCATGTACAAATTTCAATTATTTGAAAGAAACTCCTATCCACAATTTATTTTATGATTATTTTAAATAAAATTATTTAATTATTTTTTCTGTTTTCTTTTCACACTTCTTTTATTTTTAAAATTTCAGATTTATAATCCAAAAAATTTAAAAAAATTTTTGAATTTACATATTCAAAAGTTTAAAAATTTCTGTAACATAATTTTTGAACTGATTTTTTTCCCAAATCCTAAATAAAACTTTTTTAATTTATCGAATATAAAAATTTAATAAATTATATAATTTATTGGACATACATATTTTATAAAAAAAATCTGATAAATTATTAAATTTATAAAAAATACATATTTAAAAACTTTAAAATTGAGTCTAAAACAATACTTCAAGTCGTGTGTTTCAAAACTTAAGTAAATGAAATATATGAGAATAAAAAAAAATTGGAAGGTTTTGAAAGAATATAGAGACAGTTAAGTTGTGAATATGCCATTTGTCTAATTTGATTCTACTTTTTTAAAAATTTATTATTTATAATAATTATATTATAAATAATTAATTATAATCTAAAATATATAAAATTTATTAAAATTTTAAACGAAATTCGTATTTATAAGTGATAAATTTTACATAAATTTTGTTTTATTAAATAATTATAAACTTATAATTTTTAATACATCATAAACAATGACATAACTAACTAACTGTCATCTGATAGTATATGTGGTTGCTGACGTGGTGACTGTAATAATAAGATGTAAAGCTAGTTTATGTTTCGGTAATTAAAAAAAAAAATTCTTCAAACATTTCTTACAGATACTCGCATTTGGACTCTAAATAATGGGTTAATGATTAAAATATTTTTGCTATTTATTTTGTCCTTTGACAAATTAATTAAAGATGAAATCTCAACGTACCTTTGTCGTTATTATATTATATAGTCCAATTTTTAAAAGGAATTTTTTCCAAGTTCAAGTCGACGATGGCTCCAAATGGCTCGTCACCAAAAAAGCAAAAGCAAAGGCAAGTACATCTATATCTATATTTATCTATTTACGTATATAATTATAATTTAAAATAATGTTTTTTGAGATTATTTTAATATCTCTTTCATGACTTAATGAAAAGGTGACATGTGATTGAAATGATGAAAATATATATATTTTATAATGACCAAAATATTTCTTTTATAAATGATGAAATTATTATAATATCTCTTTAATTAAAAAAATATTTTATTTATCATAATTGAATAAAAATTATAATGTCTCTTATTATAATTATAAAAATATTTTTTTATTATAATTAATCAAAATTATTATAATACTCATTATATTATAATTATAAAAATAATTTTATAATTATTTCATAACTACGTGATAAATTTTAATATAATATAAATTAATCATATATTAAATTACTAAAGTTACATTGACATTATTTCATGAAAATTTAACATATGAAATTTTATAAAAATTATTATAATATTCTTATTAAATTTCACATTAAATTCAATATATAAAACTGAATTACATATTAAATTATTATAATAAAATAAAATAAGATAATATAATAAATATAAATGTAAAAAAAAACATAACAAAAAAATTAAATTATTTTTTATTTTATTTTCAATATTTTTATAAAAATTTATAAACTACAATAAATTAAAAATTATTCATTTGATCAAACAATTAATAAGATAACAATGATCAAATATAATATAAAAAATTAATAAAAACTATACTCCTAATATATAAAATAATATATAATATTTATTTTAATACTGTTCTAATATTTTTATTTATTTTATTATAAATTATTTCTATATAAAATAATAATAATAATAAAAATAAAATTTGACAGAAAAACAGTTCATCCAGCTAGTGCAGCGTCTATTTCTAGTATTGTACAGTATGGCTATGCCACGTCCAAACAAAAAGGGCCAATTGCGTCTCCAAATCCAATACAATTCATTCCCTTCAAAATGTTTTAAGTCTCTCTCGTAAAACATCCTTACTCCTTGTCTCCTTCTTCATTTCGCGGTCGTGATGCCGCGATCTTCCATCACGACCACAGAATTTACCGTTTCAAAACCCTAGTTTCGCCCCAAACGCAACAAAAGAAAAAGGAAATTCTTTTGCTTTCTCTAATTCGGTACGAATTTGGGTTGGAACGGCAGCGATTTGAGAAAGGACAGGATGTTTGGGGCGTGGAATAATATAGCAAAATCGGCAGAGGCGGTGGTTTCCCGGTGGGCGGTGAAGAGGTTGTTTAAATTTTTGTTGAAGAAGAAACTTGGGCAATTTATTCTAGGGGATATTGATTTGGACCAACTCGATTTTCAACTCACTGAAGGCACCATCCAGCTCTCCGATCTCGCCCTTAACGTAGATTATCTTAACCAGAAGGTACGCCGCCTTTACCGTACCTTTATGTTCGGTTTTTTTTTTTTGGTTTAATTTTGAATTTATGTTTTCATGAAGCTGAAGATGAAGTATGCTTAATTATAAATAGCCTTATGGTAATTAAATAAATTCAGTATTGGTTTGCTTTGAATTTTCATATAAGAGCATTTAGTGCTTATAGGATTACGAGCTTTATATCTATCTTTTCGAGCAAAAAAAGAGACCCAAAATTAAGATCAGAGGAACCGAGTACTCATGTATTTCTTTTAGATAAAAGTAGCAATATGATAAACGTAGAGTTCAAGTAGTGAGTCATAAACTTGTGAGGCTCTGGATTTTGAGTGCGCCTTTTGTAACGGGGATTCTTGGTAACTAAGGGCAATATTCTCATGTTAAAATTTTATATTATTCAATTGCTTTATCATGTTTATATTGCTCTTTATTTCAGATTGGTTCAGCGGCATCCTTGGTTATAAAAGAGGGATCTATTGGCTCTTTATTAGTTAAAATGCCTTGGAAGGGTAAAGGATGTCAAGTTGAGGTTGATGAACTTGAGCTGTTACTTTCCCCTTGTTTGGAGAATCATTTGTCAAGTGCAGATGAAAATTGTAGTTCTAGTGATGATTGTAACCATTATATGCAAGGCAACTTGGGGCAAATTTCAAATGACGTTGCTGGAAGTGCTGGGAAGTCTGATAATATCCATGAAGGTGTCAAGACAATTGCAAAGATGGTGAAATGGTTTCTTACAAGCTTCAATGTAAAGATTAAAAAGTTAATTGTTGCATATGATTCATCTCTAGAGAAGGATGAAAAATTGGGCTTCCATAGGACTTTGGTGCTTCGGATATCAGAAACGGAATGTGGAACTTGTGTTTCTGAAGATGCTGGTTTAGGTGATGAAGTTAGAACTCACAGTTTTCTTGGAATTAGCCAACTTACTAACTTCGTTAAATTCCAAGGAGCTGTACTTGAGCTCCTTCATTTGGAGGATGTTGATAATCAATCTTGCACTCCACACATATCAGGAATGACTTTTTCTGGATTGTATTCGGATTGCTTGCCACCAAATGCTGCTATTCCAATCATTTCAGGGAAAAGAGGTGGATTTTCCGGGAATTTGAAGCTAAGCATTCCCTGGAAGAATGGTTCCTTGGACATTCGCAAAGTGGATGCGGATGTTTCTATTGATCCGCTAGAATTAATTTTTCAACCTAGCACAATAAAATGGTTCTTACTTTCATGGGAAACTTACAAGAATTTTGTCAAGGTTGGGAAGAATATTGTGGACTTTGAGACAGAAGACTCTATATACTTAAATTCTAATTCTCAATTCCAATCAACAACGCCTGTTTCTGCTGTGACTGTCATTGATAAAGTGATAGCAAATCAGGCTAGTTTTCCTGTAGACTGTACTTCCATGCATGTGCAAGAATCTGTAGTCGAAGCTGTACTACCTGTTTCACATATTATACCTAATTGGGTACCACTTTCTGTTGGCAAAAGCCATAGAGATTGTGTTGGAGAGGTTGATTTTGGGGCAAGGTTAGTATCAGTTTCTGCTCAACTGAATTTTATGTACCATTCTTGTGAAACTGACATTATTAAGAGCTTGCATCAGAAACTTCTAGGATTCTATTTAGCATCCTATATATCATATTGACAAGTAGCAAAATTTTAAAGAAAGCCAAAGAAAAAAGCACCATCCTAGTTTTCATGTAGTATTTACAGTTATTTTTGTTCTTGTTTTATCTGTTTATCCATTACTTTTTTTTTCCTTTGAAGAAAGCATGTAAGCCTAAGTGCTTAAAAAAAGCTTTTCTTGAAATTTATAAACGAGAAGGAAAAGTAAACATTTTTTATAACTTCCTTCAATGCTTCTAAATCTTTTTTATTCCTGAATATTATGTTGAAGGAGAATTTACTGCTAAAACGTACCTTTTAGGATCCAGTATCATAATCATTCCAATGTAATTTTTCTAACATATTGAATATCTGCCCTTTTTATAGTGTGGACCAGTTTTTTGAGTGTTTTGATGGAATGAGAAATTCACAATCAGCTTTGGGAAGCAGTGGAATGTGGAACTGGACATGTTCTGTTTTCAGTGCAATAACTGCTGCATCCAGCCTTGCATCTGGATCTTTGCATATTCCTTCTGGTATGTGCTCTATGTTCTCCCTACGTTGTTCCTGATAGCAATTTGATTCTTTTAGAATGAGAAGTAATAATTCTGTTGTAGAAAGAGAAACAGCCAGAAAGCTAGGGTTATGTATATCCATTTTTAATCAACAATGCCTGTTGATATTTGTCAGTAAGACCTTTGATTAATATCCAGGAGATATAAATGAACTTTATCATTGTTGGAGATTTAATGTTGTTACTCACATATGGTCATAAAAAAGCTTAGGTGACACCTAAGTAGTTGGAAATTGTTGTTGTCATTGTTATTTCCTTATACTTCCTCATGAACAGTTAATTTCAGTCTTTGACACATGTAATTTGGTTTAACATGTATTTTCCTTTGTTTCTAAACAGAACAGCAGCATGTTGAAACTAATCTTAAAGCAGCCTTTGCTGGAATTTCTATTGTGTTGTCCTTTCATGATGAAGATCAGGATCATTTGTATGATCTAAATGGTGATGTAATCAATAACAGTTCCAATATTCATTATTTGGGCATAGAATGCAGAGATATCTCCCTTCTTGTGCAGGTAATATTTTGCTTGGAGAACCCTCTTTTCCACTTCCTGTCTATTTTTGAAACATAAATTTTATGTTTGTTCTTCACAATATATCTACACTAATTTGAAACATGGATAAGGTCAACAGGTATATCCTCAAGAAATAAGGTTTGAAGGAACAATGGACCATGTTGAAGCTGCTGATTATTTGTGCTGTAAGAAGGATGGAGGGGATTGTAGCAATAACATTGACAGTATTTCAATCAGAAACCTGCAAACTGAAGTTCAACGTGCTCTCCCTCTATTTTTCTCAGCTGCTGGATATCAATCATCAGATGTATTCTGTGGGTTAGTTTCTGCTGATTTTCCATCCGCAGACAAGGGTGATATGCTCAAAATAATGTTGTTTGCAACTTCTGGTGTCACTCATTGCCAATGTACTATGAGTTCTAGATCATCGGCCGGTGGTTTTTCAGGGCCAACATCTTTTTTATTGAACCTGCCACCTCTTATTTTTTGGTTTAATTTCTGCTTGCTAAAGATGTTATCAGATCTCTTGAAGGAAGTTGGAAAATCTATTGAAATGGGTAATGGTTATAACAAACACTTGTCTGATGCTTGCAATGAGAAGTGTGAATCATCTCATTCGAATGTTAAAAGAAGTTCTGGACCTAGCATTACAACCTTGTCTTCAGCAGAAACTTTGCAAGGTAATATATCAATCCCCAATGCAAGAGTAATTCTGTGTTTCCCTCTTATGACAGGCGGAGGTGATGGGGGATACTCTTCTTGGGACCAATTTATTGTTCTTGATATTTCTTCACCATTACCATCGAATGGCAGAATGCAAGACAATAGTCCAAATCTTGATGGAAGTATGCCGAAGCGGTTTTCCTCATCTGGCACATTTTCTTTACACCTGAACATTGGTAATCTTTGTGTTTACTTGGTGTCATCTGCACATAAAGGTGGTATTGGAATTGACTGTGGTGGTATGCAGAGGCATGAATTTTCTGCTCAAAAAATTTTATCCATCAACAACAGGACCGGGTGTCTTTCTGTCATTAGTATGTTTTGGCAGGAAGGTCCTGTGACTGGCCCTTGGATAGCAGAGAGAGCCAAGTTCTTAGCAACACTAGAAGAAAACAGGAGCAGAAATAAATCCATGGGAAAAGGTTATGAGTTTGCCACTGTTACTACTCTGAAAGATCTTGATGATATAAGTGCTCAAACCCGACAGGAGATACTTTTGAGCACTGCATGTTTTGTTCACATTCATCTGTTTCCAGTTATAATTGATCTAGGAAGTTCACAATATAGTGGCTTACATAACCTTTTAAACCAGATGATTACTGGATTGTCATGTTTCTCCTGCGATGCAACTGGTAGCAAAGAAGGGAATTCCATGACTCAAACGTCAGTTCTTCTGGAATGTGATTCTATAGAAGTTTCGATCAGACCAGATGCTGTTGAAAATGTGAAAGGTTCAATGCAGAGTGAACTTCCAGGTTCGTGGGGTTGTCTAAAACTGAAAATTCAGAAATTTGATTTGCTATCTGTTTCAAATATTGGGGGTATGAGGGATTCGAGTTTCCTATGGTTAACCCACAGTGAAGGTACATTATGGGGTTCAGTCTCTGGGGTTCAAGATCAGGAGTTTCTTTTAATATCGTGTAATGACTCTGCAATGAAACGCGGTGATGGAGGAGGTTCAAATGCTTTATCTTCTAGGTTGGCTGGTTCAGATATTGTGCACTTCTGGGATCCTGAGAGCTACCAAGATTTTACATCTATAACTGTGAGATGCAGCACAATTGTTGCAGTAGGTGGCCGTTTGGATTGGATGGATGTGATTTGCTCCTTTTTTAGTTTGCCCTCAGTAGACCCTGAACAATCTGATGATAGTAATTTACAAAAGAGAGATTTTGACACCCTCCCTCATGGAGCTTCTTTTGTTCTTAAATTGGTTGATGTTGCCTTGAGTTATGAGCCCTACTTAGAGAACTTCGCTCTTCATAGCGAAGTTCTTGATTCAGAGTCTGCTTCTTCAAATGCCAGAGAAGACATGTCTGAGCCCTATGTAGCTTGCCTGTTAGCTGCATCTTCCTTCTGTCTTTCAAATTCAACAGTGGTAGATTCCCTAAATAATGAATATAAAATTAGAGTACAAGATCTGGGTCTTCTTCTTCGTGCAGTTTCAGAATGTGACAAACTTGGGGGTGCTTATAGTGCTAAACAACTTAATCAGGGTGGTTATGTTAAAGTTGCTCGGGAGGCACTTATTGAAGCTGTTGTGAAAACTAACTGTAACAATGGCCTACTCTGGGAGGTAGGGTGTTCTAAATCTCAAATTGATGTGGAAACCTGCCATGACACCACATCTGGTTTGATTCGCTTGGCTGCTCAACTCCAACATTTATTTGCCCCTGATTTGGAGGAATCAATTGTGCATTTACAAACACGGTGGAATAATTTTCAGCAGGCACAACAGAGGAATGATGAGAAAAGTAGGGTCCTGAGTTGTGACTCTGGCCCATCAACTTCACAAATTCATACTGCTAGTGTGGATTTAGAAGGTAAATGTGGGCCGGCTGGCTTGATGGATGAGATATGTGAAGATGCATTTCTCTTGGATGGAAATGAGACCTCCCAGTTTAATTCTTCTGAGTCACAATGTTATCTTTCCCTTGAGGAAAGTCTTGCTGAAGAGGCTTGTAGCTTAAGCTTTGAAAATGCTGAGATGTTTTCTCACCATCTACCTGTTAATGGGATAGGTCTTGAAAGTTGTCAAACTTCCTTTCTACAAAAAGATTACTTCCCAGAACTCATAGAAAGTTACTGTCTATCTGATTTACGCCCCCTTACAGAATTATCTACAGGAATAAAATCGTCGCATGAGGTACTAAAATACAGATCCATACATGTGGGGGAGGGAGATTTTGGAAGAGAGAATAGTGGATGGTATGAGGATGCTTCTTTAAGAATTGTAGAAAACCACATTGTAGAATCAAGCGGAAAAGCTGGCTTGAAAGAAATTGTGGAAGGCAAGCTTTCATACTGTGACTCTAGGGTACATGATAATACAATGAACATCATAGGACGTGTACTTCTTAAGAACATTAATGTTAGATGGAGAATGTATGCGGGCTCTGACTGGCAGGAAACTATAAAGTGTAATAAGCTGTCCAAAAATATTCATGGAAGGAATGCAACTGTATGCCTGGAGCTTGCAGTGTCTGGGATGGAATTTCAATATGACATTTTTCCTGCTGGTGGAATATCTGTGTCCATGCTTTCTCTTTCAGTTCATGATTTTCATCTTTATGATGAGAGCACAGATGCACCTTGGAAACTGGTAATGTTCTAATTATCATTGTACTTGTAATTTACCTTACCTTTCTTATATGAACAAAATTTTGAATTTATCTTATCCTTGTTTAACTTTTAGGTTCTAGGATACTATGATTCAAAAGATCATCCTAGGGAATCCTCTTCAAAAGCACTCAAACTGGTGCTAGAAGCTGTCAGACCCAATCCTTTTACACCTCTCGAGGAGTACCGGTATGCTTACTGCTTTTTATATATTTCTGAATAACTGAAATTAGCACTGAATCTTTTCTATGAGGTGTTACATTGAGGAAAGTTACGTGTTAGCCCTTCCATGAAAAACACTTACTGCTTTTTATATATATCTGAATAACTGAAATTAGCACTGAAGCTTTTCTATGAGGTGTTACATTGAGGAAAGTAATGTGTTAGCCCATCCATGAAAAACACTTACTGCTTTTTATATGTTTGTGAATAACTGAAATTAGCACCGAATCTTTTCTATGAGGTGTTACATTTAGGAAAGCTATGTGTTAGCCCTTCCATGAAAAACATCGCCATATGCATGTTTTATATTAATTGTCATTCTAGTCGGTCCTTGTTAGATTGGTGAGTACTGGTTTTCTTGTAGAATTGGTTGTTTTACTTTTCAATTTCAGGTTTTGGGCTGGTGTGCCACTCATGGGTCCAGCCATCTATGTGCATCTAGTTCAGAAACTCAGATGCTGATCTGATTGGGACCGATGTTAATGCCTTCTTGTTATTACTTATTAGACCTTCAACCATTCACTCATTTCAACAATGGAAGGAAAACTTTAGAAGCACTTGAGTAGTCAACATTTTTATTTTATATGAAATAGTGTTTTGAGTTTATGAGCTGTATTCTTCTTTGAGCCTTGCTTTAGAAGCAAAACATTTGTGTTATCGAAATGGTAGAGGAGCCACCACGGGTTTCGCTGTAATATTTTATTGTGTTAGATGAATTCATAACCGAACCAAATGTTCAAATCACTCTTTGTTGTCACTAATTTGCTTGTCGTATTTCTGTTGCTGAATTTCTATCATTTACTTTTGATGAACCAACTTTGTTGCTTTGTTTTTTGTTTACTTTCAGGTTACGCATTGCTTTTCTTCCTATGCTGTTACATCTTCATCAAAGCCAACTTGATTTTCTTATCAGCTTTTTTGATGAAAAAAGCTCATCAATTGACCAGTCTACAGGTGGTCCTGATTTGTTTGTAAAGAGCAATAATCTCACTGGTCATTCGATTGCAAATGAGGCATTGCTCCCTTATTTTCAGGCAAGTGTGGACGAATTCATATTTGTATTGCATATTCTTGCTTCACTTCTGAATTGGATCTGCGCTTTCAGTCCTTTTTTTTTTTTTCTGTTGGCATCTTAGTGATTGGTGTAGCAAATTGCACTTGTGATCTGAATGTATTAACATTTATTAAAATATTCTAGTTGTGGTAGGAGAGTTGGCAAGACAATATTTTTTAGTATCTTTTCTCTTTTTGGCATTATTTGTGTTCTCCTGATACTTCTGGTATGGTTTTTGATAAATAATTGTATGATTCAACATTGGGCTTCAGGCTTAATTTATGATGATAATTTCTGCTGGATAATCTATGGGTAGTATAACTTGAGGGTATTGGTTGGATCTTTTTCTTTGTCTAGTTAATTTTCTGAATACTGATTGAGGAGGGGATTTTGTTTCAGATGTTTGATATATGGCCCATTCTTGTACGAGTTGACTATATTCCCCACCATGTTGATCTGGCAGCACTGAGAGGTGGAAAATATGTGGAACTAGTAAACGTTGTTCCATGGAAGGTGAACTGTTTCTTCCTTTCTCCAATTTTTTGGGATTTCATTATGTATTTACTGATGCAACATTTGATGTTCCAATTTTCATTTGTTTTTTGTCTGTTTTGTTTTGTTTTGTTTTGTTTTCTCTCGGCTTTTTATTTTTGAATAGTTCATATTTTCTTAATTAAACTATTAATAAAGTAGGACAATATTTGGCTTTTACACTTTGTGCAGGCTATGCTTGATCTCAATGGCATTCTTATTATCTAATTATTTCTGTTCTGGCCCTCTAAATGCCCTGTTCTAGTTTGTTATTTGTTCCAAACACATGCTAGACCTTCTACTTATGTGAGGTTTCAATGTTTACTAATCATCCTACAAATAATATATGTTAACATCAACAGAAATGCTTTTAAATTTTTATTTTTTCTTTGTTCATTGATTTTGACGTGAAATAATATTGAGTGTGCTTTCTTTATGGCATTTTGTTTCATGATAGTTCTTTTTGTTGCAAAAATAATGCTGCTTCTGCTGTCTACTTATTGTTTGTATGGGTTGCATCTTGTAATACTTCTAGTTGCTGCCTGACTAAATCGTGTGTCCAATTAATTATGGTCCCCTAACCTCAAGTTGATAAAATTTAGTTGCCTAGGTTATACTTTATCCGTGTGGATTTGATTTTACTGCTGTTGCTTATTGCATTGTCATGTTTTTGAGTTTTCTATTTGGAAATATAGCTATAATGATACTGTTTTGCTTTGAACTTACACCTGCAGCTTCTCTTTATAACTAAAATGTAGTCAACTCTCTCTCTCTCTCCCCCCTCATACATACAAATTGATTCTCAACTGTGTAAGTTCAAAGAGATGTTATGTGTTTGGCATGCCTCTATCATACTGAAATAAAATTTTTATGCAGGGAGTTGAGCTAGAACTTAAACATGTTCATGCTGTTGGTGTCTATGGCTGGGCCGGTGTTTGTGAAACAATTATAGGGGAGTGGTTGAAAGATATTTCTCAAAATCAGGTTTACTAGTCTTCTGAGTGTTTATTGAGACTACCAATTTTGTTGGCTATCTGGCAAATATTTTATTCATAATATTCCCTTTCTTTTTCATATTTTAGATTCATAAGGTATTGTGTGGCCTTTCTCCTGTCGGATCCTTGGTTGCTGTTTGTGCTGGTGCTGCAAAGCTGGTTTCTTTTCCGCTTGAGAGCTACAGGAAAGATCAGAGGGTACTGAAGGGAATGCAAAGAGGTAGTTGTGTTAATCAAAATTTCTTTGATCTTGCCTTAGTAAAATTTGGGCTCCCCTTGTGTGCAAGCTAAGATGTGCTTTTCAGGTACAATTGCATTCCTTCGGAGTATATCACTGGAAGCTGTTCGACTTGGTGTGCATTTGGCAGCAGGGACGCGTGACTATTTGCATCAGGCTGAGTATAAGTTCACAAGTGTCCCTCCTCCTGCATCATGGCCTTCACAAGACAAGACAAAGACTAATGTGAGACATAATCAGCCTAAAGATGCCCAACAAGGAATTCAACGGGTGAGCATTCTGAGATACTTGTTGTCGGATAAACTTCCCCTTTTTAATGTTGAGACGCACTTTCTAGAGGAATAAAACATGTTTTGTCTAGTCTTGAGGTACGAGTGGCAACAAAATATGAGTATATGTTTTATAAGGTTTTGATGGTTTAAATTTTGCAGGCTTATGAGAGCATCAGTGATGGGCTGGAGAAATGTGCTTGTGCTTTGGTCCAGACACCATGGAAAAAATACCAACGTGGAGCCAGTGCGGGTTCTGCATTGGCAACTGCCATTCGGGCAGTTCCTACAGCTGCTATAGCTCCAACTTCTGCTTGTGCAAGTGCAATACACTATACTCTACTTGGAGTCAGAAATAGGTACTTTACCAAGGATCTAAGATTATGTCAAAGGAGCCATGGTTCTCCACCTTCTCCCTCCTCGGCTTCTCGATTAATTTACCAATTTAGTTGGCTAAGCTTTCCAAAATACCAAAGAGGTTTCCCTTTAAGCTTTCAAAATACCCTAAGATTTATTATCTTAATTTGAATTTCCTTAATTATCTAACCAATCTCGTAAGTTGCTTTAATATGGATGTTGTAGCTGATAAACAAAGAACTTAAATATGTCCTTTTGTGTAAGTAAACACTATTATTGATGCATGCTACTTTTCTCAAATATGGAATCCCTTGTGTTTTCCTGAGAGCAGCTTAACCGGTTTTCACTTCTGTGATCATGCCGAAAAGAAAAAAGGAACACATATGTTTGTATATTTCTTATTTTTAACCTTTGGAATGTGTTAGAATTTTCAAACTCAAATTTAACTTGCCAAAATCCAAGCTATCAAAATAACCTTGATTATAACTTATTCTACTTTTGTATATATGTGAATACTGATTAATTGAGCAGCAACATATCTGTACATCTACTTTGGCTCCCATTGATACAATCCTAGTTCTGCCTCCTTGTATCATTTCAGGTGTGTTTGGCACCACGGTTGCAGTGCCAGAAGGCACCTTATTTATTCTTTTCTTTCAAGTTATTCTGACAAATGATTTATAGGGTACATCCTAAATCTGGAATGTACAACTAATGATGGTATCTTTGCTTGCAGCCTTGATCCTCAACGCAAGAAAGAGTCGATGGAGAAATATTTGGGTCCAATTCTGCCACAGGAACCAAATTAATCGAGTAGCTAATAGTATAATCTGGTATTTTGCCTGTATTTGCTCTACGGTTGAAATTTATCCACTGTTTATCCATTGTGCATTGGAAGAAATTTTGCATTTCCTTATTTCATCTTCTTGTTGGTACACAGGAGCATTTCGTTTGACTGAAGATTGTCAAAGACAACATGGAGAGTTCTACTTTTCTGTGAGTTGAACCTTTTAAATTTATTCTACCCTAGAATAAATATGAATGCATTTTCTTTGGTATTGAAAGAAGTGAAACAATGTTTCTATTCCCATTTACAGCTTGAGTATACATGTTATTGTAATTATCCATTGTTGTGAACATTGTAAATCATTCGAGATCCATTGTGGCATCCACAATCGCTAGTCAAGTTGTCCATACCTGATATCAAATTTATACTTTTTTGGTATTTTTACTAGTCAGTTTTATGAAATGCACCGCCTGATTTTTTTTAATCTGGTTGTTCCAGGTGTGCAGTTAATCAAGCCATCGTACTGATTCTTTCCCGTCATTGGAACAGGAAGAGACGGTAAATTTTGTAGAAAATGTAAATATGTATATCGGTAATTATGAGCCAGGTTATTAGCTCTACACGGATGAGTTGAAATCTTAGTCTTCCGACCTAGATAGTGTTATTCTTGTCAAGCCTGGCACTGTGCATATTGTTGCTGTATGTTGTACATGAATTCATTGTCATGTTTGTCAATTAAAAAAACAAAAAAAAAAAAAAAAATCCAATTGTTGAAGGATTTGTCGACATTTTCTGTTCAACTTAAAATTGTGATTTAAAGTTTAGACAGCTTTCTTTTCCTTTTTCTTCGTCTTTTTATTTTCTCTTCTCAACAATGTCGGTTATATGTTCATGAATTATGGATGGAGCATAGTTTTCATTGAATTTGAGTATTGCAAAGTGAACTTTATTTTTTTATAGTTTTGATGTTTAAATTTTAACAGATATAATTTTTTTAATTTTTTTTGTAAAAAAATAACTTTTTTGTTTTATTTAAGAAAAAAGAAATGAGAGGGTAAAGAAGTGTGGCTCAACACCAAGTATAGACGAACTAAATTCAAAAAAAATAATATGAAAAAAATGAAAAATATAGAAACAAACAAATAGATTACATGGATCTTAATTCTTATGGGAAGATCCCTAAATGCAGACATTTGTACAGAACAAAAAAAAAAAAAAAGACAATACTTGTCTACTTCCCCAGGGGAATGCAGGATGGGATAGGGTGTTTCTTCATGGTAGAGTAAACTGAAGAAAAAAAAAAAAAAAACTGCAGCCAAGAGAAACAAAGAACTAAAGAGTAGAGAGAAGAACCACCTTCTAAAAAACTAAAATTGCAGAAGGATTTTTATATTCAAACTTCAAAGGCAAACGCTTCCTCTTAATTTGTTACCCTATACAGTTATCAAAGGATGTTTGATTGAGTCCCTTCCCCTAAGTATGCCAATTACATCATCTGTCTAGCTTCATGGTGCTGTCCTCCTCAAATACCTCTGCCCTGTAAAACATAAACCATTAGAAAAAACATCTTTGAGACTTTGCCTACTGTAGGAAAGGCATTGTCTATAAATTATAACACAACGGAAATATGTGAAGTATATGTTGTGGTGTAATTTTCTCTCCTACTGCCGCTATCATTTAGGAACAAAAAAAAAAGAAAAAAGAAAAAAAGAGAGGGAATTCCAATCTGTAATCTCACCTATGTTTTGTTGCTGGTAAGATCTTCACCATGGACAAACATAGGACTTTTTTCTTCAACTACGTTCTCAAGAAATGGATCATTCTTATCCCCTTTTCTGTATACTAGGTTAGTCCTTTTGAGCCCCAACCGCTCTTTCCACCGGCCCGAACCTTTTGGCAACGTTGGATGTGAACCCTCAAAGTCGTCATCATCATCATCATCTACAAGCAGTGTATCTCGCAAAGTCAGCTTTCGTCCTTGTTCAGTCCCATTATTATCTTTCAAAGGCAATAACATACCCTTGAAGAAGATCTCATCTGCAGGTATCATGGCAAAGTTTTTCACAGAGAATTCGAAGTCCGAAGAGACAGGAGCTTCCCTATAGTTGCTCTCATGTTTGATCCCTTGATGAGGGTCGGCTGCAAAATCATTGGAGAAGGATATTCTTGGGTCCATTAAGAGACCTTGCTGATGTTCATTGTTGAACATCTTTACGCATGCTATTGCTATAGATATTCAGAAACAAAAACTCAAAATAAAACTTAGAAAGCTGTTTCTTCCCTTGCAGTTGTTGTTGGAATCCACATGCAGATCTTTGCATTTATATTGTGCTTTGTAGACATCTCATGTTGAGTAGATTTGTCATATAGTGATTAATAATATGGATAAACTCTTTTAATTTTATCCGGAAAATAACTTTGCACTTTTTTTAACTGCTATGCAATGTATAAGCTGGCAAAGCCCATATGGACGCTAGTGTTTCTCACTAGCTTGGGTTTTGGCCAAACTCATGATTCTCCCGCAAGGAAAACGGCCATAAAAAATAAAGTAGGTTTAAATGACTATTTAATTGTATAAACGGATGATATACAATTGTAAGTATTGAGATTTGTATTCAAACATATTAAATATCATCTTTAATAATTATATATGAATTAATTAGAGTTTTTAAAATGTTTAATTTATTAATATAAAAGTATTACTTATAATTTAAAATCAATTGAATTATAAATTTTAATATATTAATTGATTTCTAATCTTGACGATTAAGGTTACAATCAGCTAAGTTATCTAAGATATATATCCATGAAAAACAAACTTTCTTGTTTTTAAAAAATGATTTATTTACATGTTCGTGGACTTTGTTTATGTTCCTATGGCCAGTTTACCATGAATGGTTACCAAATTCCCATGTTAGGGGTCCAATATTTTTAGTTTATTTTTTGTCATTTCCATCCATCTATGGATTTAAGTCTTTTCTCTCTCAAAAAAAGTCTTTCAAGACTTTCAAATGCCCATGTGAACCTTAGCTGGTATGATCTTTAGTGTAAGGATTAAGTAGAATTAAAGTTTCTCTACTCTCAACTATACAACAAAACCAGAAAAGTTTAATTCAGTCCTCTGTTTGACTATCAATAATGCCCCAACCAACCCCATATTTAAAAAATAATGGTTCATTTGTATCTCATCTAAATGGGATTTTTTGTCCATTGAATCCCCAAATGGAAATTTGACAAGTCCTGGATTCTCATTTGGTAATGAGGGATAATTGAGAGTGAGAAACTAGGGATTAGCTAGAGACAATGTGCCAAAGTGCCAACTTCATGGATTGGGGGAGGAAATGTTGGTCTAATTGGCAGTTGTGTCGCTTTTGGTCTCCCATTTTGCTATCAAACTTTGTCTTTTCTACTCTTAAAAATCTACGAAAAAGTCTCGATTTTCAATATTGGATCTCTGAAAAGAAAACTTCTTTCATATTTAGGTGCTTTGAATGTAACTAGAAGTTATCTTTCTATTAAAATCATTATAAAACACGTAATACAATTGATCTTAATAATAAAAAAAAAACATCCAAAAGTATATTTTGATTTCTCATCTTATTGTCGTTTACAATCAAATTATAGATAGAGATGTAATTCAAAATTAAATTTAGTAATTTATGTATTTATATTATATTTATTTATTATTAAATATATGTAAAATACAAAAATCATCATATTACAATTCATATTAATACATCAAATACAAAATATATATTCTTATTTTTATTAATCTCATATACTAATTTTGTCAAATTTAAATCACATTACTTTTTATTTTTTTTTATATTTTTATGTGTCATAATTTCATGTTCTACTCAAAATCGAACCAATTCTATGTTAATCTAGATAGATCAAGACGAAAACCTTTTTCTAGTATTTGTTTTTTATTTGTTTTAAAGGAAACAGTTTAATGTTCCATATATGCAGCCTAAAGCTCTTATTGAAAATCATCATCATCATGTTCTACAGAAGAAGGGGAAGATCTTTTAAGGGGTAATTGGCTTCCAGGAGAAAGTCCAACCGTCATCGTCTCATGAAATGCACCTTTTAAGGAAGTTGTCACAGATTTCACAATTTTCCCTTGGAAAAGGGTGGAGGAAGAAGTAAATGGTGGCGTTATCCTCAAAGAATTTCTATTGAGAGAAACAGAATTTAATAGTTTGTGATGTTCCAGGTTTTGCTTCAAGGTATTCTGCATCTTCTTTCCTTCTCTTTCCATCATGTTAACTTTTCCAATATTTTGGGTTTTGCCTCCTTCCCTTTCCTGCATCCTCGGGTTCACCTTCGATTCCATTGGAGTCAGCTTCCCATCTACTTGGTTAGTGAAAACAAATGTGACCTGCAATGCATATGCTGAATGCATAAGTTTCACAAGAGGAAGCTCCTTCTTTATAAACTCAGCACCATTAACTAGCAAAGCTCGTTTTCCCACATTTCACAAGAAAACATTTAAGAAATCATAATATAAAACATATATATATATATTTATATATATGAGAAAGAGATTAACTTAGACCAGTGCAAAAATAATTTAGTTTTACGCATTTTCATGTCTTTTTATATGATGCCACCAATGAATTTTATGCTCTATTCACATAAATCATGCATGCGAAATTTTAAGTTAACCAAAAAGTCTAACTATCTATTCCATAATAATAAAATTTCAATTGTTAATATATATTGAAAAAGATATTATTCTCGATTGAAATGATAAGGATATCGGATCGACTCAAAACTTTACATGCACGATGGATACAAGCAGATTTGTTAAATCTAACTTCCTGTTTGTAAAAATATTAATCATACATGAAGTTAAAAAAACAGTGTAAAAAAATTTGTTTTACATCGGTGTAACATGATCCCTCCTCTCTCTATATATATGCATGTGTGTGTTCGAGAGAAAGAAAGACTAAGCAACTGCAAACTGTTCAGTGTCAGGTTAGACTTCAAACTAAGACATGCTTCACTTATGTAATCCGTGCATTTAACTTATGCCTTTTTTTTTTACCAAAGTGCTTAATCTATGCTTTGGAGTCAAAGATAGACACTTGGATCAGAAAATTTTAAAGCACAATAAACCTATGTATGATTGAATTTTAATTGGAAAATGAAGTACTGTCAATAGAAAAAGACACTACAAAAATATTGGCATACCTCAGCACCAGCCGAAGCTTGCAGAATGGCATCAGGTACTGTTTCAGAGCGAAAATGATGCCCCCAGCTAGCTAAATCCTCTTCTAAGGGAGTTCCCACCTGAAAACAATCCCGAAGTGGAGATAAAAAGAATCAAACACATTAGTAGGTGATAAGATGCAAGTATATTCACTAACTGAGTAATAGCCAAACCTGTTTTTCTGAGCTCTTTAACTTATCCAAACATCCAGCTATTCCTGCAAATCCACCTATGTCAAAAACCTCTTGATCAGATCCAGAGCTTCCATTTTCTGATTCACATTCTTCCTGCTCTCCTATGTTTTCAGACCCCATATCATAATTTTCACAGCGGTTGCAATTCATCTTTTCATGAATTTCAGACCTGCATAGTTTATGAGATAAAGGTTCACGTTACACAAGCATGAAGATGGACTGTGAATTGCTCTAGCTAAGAAACATGTAAATAAATGATTCAATGATGGAGTGAACTGGAATAGCATAGCTATGTAAAAGTTAAATAAAATAGTTTTTCTTGACGAAACCAGCCAAAGTAAATCACTTTTGTCCCTGTTACTGCATAACTGATGGACATTCTAGATTACTACGAAGGACAATGCAACAATTTTCATTTTGATTTCTTTATACCTGCCGTAATTGTAGTCTTTAGGAACAAAGAGACTCTTTAGCCTGAGATAATGTGAAGTCTTGAAGCAGAATATTAGAGGTTTACAAGGTGCTTATGCTTCTAATTCGTATTATTTGATAACAATATACCCACTTCAGGTAACCTTACAATCTCTCAGGTGCCCTAGAGAAGGTGTTACTGTAAATCTGCTGAATAAATAGATGATGTTATGGAATAAATAGAAAAGCATGTTATAACTTAGAAAACACATTACCTCACATTATCATAAAATGTGAAAAGATCACGTAAATCTTCTGTCGAGAAAATGTTTCCCTGCAACTCAAACAGTTGTCATATGACGAACTATAAACAAGTTTCAACGAAAAACATACAAAAACTGACAAATAGGAACCTGTCCCATAAGGCTGTCCACTTGCTCCTGCTGGATAACCTTTTGCAGCCCTTCCTTTGACATTTGACGCTGGTACACCTATAGAATATAAATATGCCCTCTCATTCCAACTATATATTCGCAGTTTTTATGCAAAACACTGATTTATGTTCACTTAAAATGACATCAAAACCTTTTCTTCAATTGTTCCTGTACTTAGGAATCTGTAGATGTAAACTCTCTTTTTCTGCCCATCTCTCCAAACCCTTGCAGCAGCCTAATTTATGTTAGCAAAGAGTGAGAATATTGGGTCGATTGAAAATTGCCTTCTTTCTCAAGGACAATAGAAATAATCAGAGCTCAGACGAGATATTACTTGCTTATCATTAGCAGGGTTCCAATCAGGGTCAAACAAGACTAGTCGATTACCACCAATCAAATTGAGACCACAACCACCCGCCTTGCTACTTAATAGAAACACAAACTCATCCTGCAAAATGTTGAACCAATCTGGATTATCAGTGATAAATCCTCCAGCAAAAGCCTAATCCACAATGCAGTGATGTAAAGAAATTTCATACCTTGGTTGAGTCATTAAAGCGATTAACTAGTTTCTGTCTTTTGCTAATTGATGTAGTTCCATCAAGCCTCAAGTATGGATATCTTCTTTCTCGACACAATTGAGCAAACAAGTCCAGTGTCTGATGCACAATAAATTCATTTTTACCATAAAATGTACTAGATGATGATTTATCCCAAGAAATCTTACTAATGCTCAACATAAACAATGATACAGGTTGGAGTAGGGAAACAAGTGGTCAATGACCACAGAGGAGTGTCCCCATGAGCAAGTTTGACAACTATGACTGTTTTGCTTCTATACTGGAAATACAACTAAATATAGGCAGTGCTTTCCTCTAACAAATTCAACAACAATCTACTTATAATATGAATAAAGCAATGTGACTGTGTTATCAGTGAGCAGTATATATATCATGTCATGCAAACAACTCCCGCTTCCTACACCAGGTTCGTGCAATGGCGATTACTTTTAGATCACCAGTAAAGTAGCCTCCAAATGCAGTGTTGGATCATGCTTCTTCAACTATATGCTGTCCCCGTACCAGATAGTTCAGTTGATATGTTACTACATTGTGGTTTATTTAGCTGAAATGACTACCAAAACAACCTTAAATAAGCTGAGAACATTGCTAACCAGATAGTAATATTAAGCAGTAATGATTAATTTTCAATATGGCTGAACTACTTTTGTTAGCTATTTATATTGACCTGTGTATAGTTTGAGACAAGAACAATGCGATCATCAGTTCTCTGACGGAGATGAGCCAGCAATCGTGCCAATACATGCATTTTCCCAGACAATTCAACCCAAGCCCCATCACCACCAGTCCATGATCCCGATCTAACAATAAAAGGAGAAACAAAAATGTATGAGATCTCAGGCAGTTGACATGAAGCATAAAAATAACAGATAAAACAAGAAGCCTACCTTCCTGAGAACATCTCTGGTGGGAAAAAGCGCATACAGTCCTCAAATCCTGCAGTTCCTGGACTTCCACTTCTTATAGTATCATAAATGAGCTAAAAAGAGAAATATCATCTATGAGAACAAGTGATCTTCTCAAACTTAGAAATAGAAGAGAAATCAAATAGAAAGGTAAACAAGATAAGTCAGATAAAACAAGTGCCAGTAAATCCAGTTAAATGTGAAATGGTAAATGTAGAAAAGGACATTATGTCAAATATGGAATGGTAAATTGAAAAAAAAAAACACAAATTACTGATTAACTTGTTACCAAACTTTATCAAGAAGTACAAAACCCAATATTCACTAAGAAACATGTCAAGAAATCTGTTTTTCCCTGAAATTATAGCACCTTCGGATGATTGCAGAGCTTCTTAAGAGCTGTAATATAAGCCAATATCTTTGTTTGCTTTGTTTCTTCAGTGATGGCTCGTTTAACCTAAGTTCAAGAGTGACAAGATATCAATCATTTCTGATCTAGACATGGGTGATTTTCAAATGGTTCACATTAAATCAATAAATAAACCTACATTTTTTGAGTGTATAAAATGATTGTATAACTCAGACTGAAGAGGAGTCAACTTGCAGCAAACTACTTCAACTATCTGCAAGAAAAAACAAAATGCCCAAGAAGGAAAATTTCAGACAATTCATTAAATATTTAATATAGTTTACCAACCTATATTCTTTTATAATAAATCTTTAGTAAAAGATAATTTTGCAAAAAGTGTTTAAGAAGACGATGATATGTAAAAGGGCGACAACTGAATGTAAGTCAAGATAAGGGCCATACCTTTGGAGGCAGATGATTTGATAGCAAGGCATTAGTCCTCCTCAATATGAACTGCAATCATGTATCTATTAGTCAATTGTGAAAATCACTGGCGTAGTTGTTTAAAAAGAATTGCAGTAGCCATCATTACAGCAGGTGATGTATTTCAGGAAGAGAGAAACTACTCAATAATGCTTAATACAAGTGAAAATGTCAATAATAATGAACCAAGATTACCTGATTTACTTTTGCACTTAATTCTGAAGAACGTTCTGCAGCTAGCTTCTTCTCTTCTTCACCAGAAGTTGGTTCTCTTCCACAAATGATCGGCGTCTTCATTAGTTGTATGCATTGCAGTATGTATAACAAATAAGAAAAGTTACTAGGGTGAAAAAAAAAAAGTAAAGAACTGGAATAATTATGTGTTAACCGATAATACAACTTCATTATAGAAAGATCAAAGCAAAGCAAATTATTTCAATGCAGCATATGCTCCTAACAGATTAATAATCACTAATTAAATTTTATTTAGATGAACATAACAAGACACGGTAATGGCCACCATGATACTGTATCCTTCATAGTTTAGGGAATCTGCATGATTACATATCTTTTCTACTGCATGAAAAGAAAAGCCAATTATAATGTTCTCTGCATAGACTTGAAATTTCTTTCTAGACCTTAAGCAAATAAATTGCAAAGCATTAAACTGCCCATAAGCAACTGACCTTTACATAAGGTAAATGTTGCAGGGTGTATTTACTAATGCAACACTAATAACAGCATACATGTAAGCTTTACCCGGTTCAAGTGCAAATCCTTTTATAGTTCCTTAGTAGACCAGAATGGCAGAAACAGAGAAGAGATATAGACTACGAGTTTTCAATTCAAAAAATAACTTGAAAGGAGATTTTTAAAGTAATATTTGGAACATCTGGAACTCACACATGGACAATAATTTTTTTTTTTTTTTTTGCATCTCATGTTTAACCTCTGAAACTAAAATGCCAAGTTATCAACAAACCTCATAGTAACGACGAAAGTACGCAGCATCACCCAAAATCCCTGGATTAGTAAAGTTGACCATGGCAAAGAACTCTTCAAGGTCATTCTGTTTGGACACAAAAGGAAGGGAAACTTATATGTTAAGAAGACAAACAGATTCATAAAGCATATCCAGAATCACATGCAAATGCTTGTTACCTGCATGGGCGTTCCAGATAACAAAATCCTGCGCTTACATGAGAGAGCAGCCAACGCCTAGACCAGAGACATAGTTATGGACATTGTTAGAAAAGCAACAAAGAAAATGACTTCTACCAAGAACAATCACAGGAGAAAAGCATTTCTTCAAAAGCATACCCGGTTTGTTATTGTCTGGTCATTTTTCAGCCTGTGAGCCTCATCACAAATAAGAAGATCACAAGACTCACTTTGGCAAAATTTTGATGAATGCATCCTAAATGTCTCATATGAAACAATCAATACCTGGAAACAATTGGATAAATTAAAAGAAAAATTGAAAAAATTACTATATCAAGTGCAAAAATTACCTGCAATGAGCTATGGGGACTTGTGTAGCTGTCAATTCCAGAGACAACGTCATCTCTGCTGCTTTCACAAAGAGCAACAAGCTGAACTTTTTCTCCAACCCACTTCTTGATTTCTGCCTCCCAGTTACTAACAAGACTGGTTGGGGTGACAATTATGGCCTTCTTAACCATCGGATTCCCATCAAACCCTTGACGTAGAAGAGTATAAAGTAAAGTGATTGACTGCAATGTCTTTCCCAAACTGCAAATATGAAAGATACATAAATGAAATCAAGAGCACAATTGCAGAAATTATAACGTCAGTGTGAAGGGATTTACCCTGAAGGGATAAGATATTTACCCCATATCATCAGCAAGAATGCATCCATTTATATTGGCAGCATCATATAACCCGGAAACACAGTCAAACATGAACTGAACCCCTTCCCTGCATTACAAAGAGAAAATCTTAATTCTCAAGTCACCAATTACAATAAATAAGAAGAAGATAAATCCACAATCAAAATATTTTAACCTGCGCATTCTGAATATCATGTCTTGTTTGTCAGTGACCTAAACCATCCCCAAATCAAATTCATATAAGGATAGAGAGCAAGATGTTCTAAAGGGCTTTTAACTACTGTAGTTTCAAACAGAACATTTTCATTTCTGAATTGCATCTAAATGACGCATGCAAGCACAAACTTACATATAAAAATACATACAAGAATGTACATAAAAACTCTACCCTGCATATACCACAACCGAACTGCAGGATTCTCACTGGCAAACAATACCTTTGATGGGGTCGAAGAAAACGAACAAGCAAGGGATCCACAGCTATGGGCACCAAGTTGTTGGGTTCAGCCTCAGATTGTTCAGGTTGCCACAATACCAGAGGCTCAACACCAGGTGGCAGAGTCACAATTTCCTCAACAATATCAGTCCCATCTGCTCTAGTTATATCCAGCCGATTGGTTATTGCAACTAACGCTGGCCTTGAAGAGCCCCAAGGAACAAACCTTTTCCGAGCCCAAAGACGTCGTGCAAGATGTTCATTCCCGTTACCGTAGCCATTAGAACATGGAGGCTTAAATGGTTTCCTACAAACTGCAGCTCCTTCTGTCACTGAAAGCAGTCGTGGAAGCAGCGATTGTCTTCTTACAATAAGGTTGCCCCTAATTAATCATCACTATAGATTTCAATTTCACAAAACTAACAAAAAAAATCCATCAAAATATATTAAACTATTATCGATATTCCAAGACTCAAAACATACTAATATCAAAAGAATAATACAATTAATATTGCATAAAGAAGAAACCTAGATTGGATCCGCATTATTTCAACAATTCAAACTTAAAGGAAAGCAAAAAGGAAACCACCTTATATTAATTCACAAGAAAGTTCTTTCGTTTTTTTAGGGTTACGTATTGGGTTTTGGAAATAAAAAGTACCTTAATAAAGCATGGACGTTCTTGGATTTGAGATCTTCATCGGACGGCGGAAGGTGCGCATTAGATTCTCCATTGTTATCGTCGTTCTCTTCTTCTTCTTCTTGGCGATCAAAGGTGTAACCGTCACTGGAATCGCTCAGATCGGAATCGGAGAAAATTTGTTCCTCTTCGTCTTCCTCCATTGATGACGTAGACAGTGTTTCTCTTGCCATTTGTATGGTGAAAGAAAGAGGGGTTGGAAGAGAGACTAGGCTTTTTGAAAATCACGAAATCTGGCGGTAAAATGAAAATGGATCATATAGATTTGAGTTGGGTTTGGGCGCAGATGAGAGGGCAAGGCCTTTGTGACTAGGGTTGGGTTTTGTTCATAAACCCATAAACCCTAGCTCAATCCATTAATAAAAACAATCCTATGTCGGTGAGGACTAGGGGCCGTCACTCGAGTCAGCTTAGCTGTTTTTCGGCCTAAAAATTTTGTAATTAATTTTCAATATTAGTATTAATTGAATAATTTTAAAAAATATACTACTAGTAGTTTTTAACAATTTAATTAAATATAAATAAATTTTTTATATTTTAAAATGATACGATAATACGATATAAAAATAAAAATAAAATAATACAGTTTAAAATTTTTATAAAAATCATATATGAGTTTTATAAAAATAAAAATATATATTTTGTATTTAATGTATTAACATAAATTTTAATATAATAATTTTTATATTTTATACCTATTTGATATGATATAAATATTATACAAATATTTATATTATCAAATTTAAATATAAAAATGAGATATAATAAAACATAAAATAAAATAAAATTAGCTTAGATCATCAATTTAATTTAATTATAAGAGCCGTCTTCAGTTTAGATCATCAATCTTAATTGCAGTACTCTTTTATTGCAAAGAAATGTATTCAATATGGCGGTCAAACTCCAAATTAAGGATCCAAATTAAGGTAGGGAGCTGGCACGATTAAGTCTGTCTCTACATCTATTATCCGACGACAGTTGGCTTTTCTAATTTTTTTTTTTTTCGAAATTATTCGAGTTCATTCCATTTAAATTTAAATTTTAATATTTTAGTAATTTAATGTTAGGAAATCTTTATAGAAATTACTTAGAACATTCGACGTTATTATATTCAGTAATCTTATATTATTGAAATATATAAAAACTAGTTTAAATTTAATAAATAATAAATTTTTAATTTCAGTGATTAAAGTTGAAATTTAATAGTTTTAAATATTAAAAAATTAATAAAATTATTAACAAGAATGTTTAGTATTATTAAAAATTAGATGAAGGTTACATAAAAAAATATATATTTATTTTGAGAATATTGATTTTACATATCAAAGTTATAAAAATTTTACATGGATTATCAAAAAGTATATAAAGTTTTCTTATATTCAATAATTCCATATTTAATATAACTTTACGTTATGATTAAATATCCATAGAATTATTGACAAAAACTTCCAATATTGCTAAAAATTAGATGAAAATTATGTAAAATAATAGTGTATTTTGAAGTTACTGATATTGCATATAGTAAGATTATAAAAAAAAAATTAGTATCTCATTGACCTTTTGTTATCCAAAACCCATACAAAAAATTAGATTAAGGATAATTAGTAAAATAATAATGTGTTTGAAGGATACTAATTTGCATACTAAAGTTACAAAAAAAAGTTATAAAGGTATTTTAAAAATCAGTAATTTCATATTTAATATTTCAAAAATCTTAGCTTATTGAATATCTAAGTTTTTGAAAAATACAATTAATGTTACAAAAACTTACATAAAGGCTACGTAAATGTCGGAACCACAGTTTTTCAACCAATTACAATGTCAAATTAAGCCTCGCAAAGAAAAAAGCGTCACAGAGATTGAGCACATGAGTTTTAGAAGGAAGGAAAAAAGCCGTCACTTTCAGTACTGCATCCTGGTAAGTGCAGCGTCATCTGTTTGGAATGAGGAAAAGCCCCCTGATATTTATATTCCACAAGTCTTGGTCAGTTTTAAACAATGCTGATGGTTTCTTCCTGGCAACTTGCATCGAACGCAGACATGATATACATGCTTAAATCATCGCCTGGTTTGAGAAATGTGGAAGGAGAGAGGTCATACCATGCAACTTCCCAATACCTACAAGTTAAAAGCCATTGAAGAACCAGCTGCATGCAGTGTTTTTCTGTTTCTGGTGGTTAAAAATTGAACAACTGAAAAGAAAATTTTACAATTATTTACTTGACAGTATCACCTGAATTCAGCATTTTAAACCTTTGACATTTGACAGTTTCAACCTAATAAAACTTTCCACAGACATCTATATATGTATATATATTGGAACTCGTATCTTACATATAAGGCTAACCCAAAGGCTGATTATTAATCATACAAAACATGTATCATACGATGCAGGATCCTCCGAGTCCGATGATCTATTCGGCTGACGGGCATCTGGGTCCTATCCCAGTTTCAGGAGTTCCGGAAATTATCCCTATACAGCCTCATCCTAGTCATCATCCATATATCTCCCACAGCTTACCCCAAGCTCCCCCTATTCCTGTTCCTGGACAGTGGACTTCGGGTCTTTGCCATTGTTTCGATGACCCTGTAAATTGTAAGTAGATCTAATACTCACTAGCTTGACCATTTATGTACTTCAGCTGAAACCCCTTTGTTTTGCTTATTTCAATTTTTTGGTTTTGTGATTTTAAACTTATCAGGTGTGATTACTTGCTTCTGTCCTTGCATCACTTTTGGACAGATTGCTGAGATCGTGAACAGAGGATCCAAATGTAAGTTTATGTTTTGAAATATTTCCATTTTCCATCATGATAATTTCAATTCTTTTAAATGAGTACTGTTTGCAGCTTGTGTTTCAAGGGGTTTTCTGTAGTGCTGCTGGCTCTCATGGGTTGTGCATGTTTTTATTCATACTTCTATCGCTCAAAACTTAGGGGCCAATACGACTTACAAGAGGAACCATGTACTGATTGCCTAGTTCACTTCTGGTGTGCTGCATGTGCTCTCTGTCAAGAATACAGAGAGCTCAAGAATCGTGGATTTGACATGGGGATAGGTAACATATATTAATTTCAGCTCAAAACTCTATGTTTCTGATGCATTTAGTAGATTCCGGCTACAGTAGAAATCCTTCGATCTCTGACTTCGTGCTGTCGTGCAGCAGTACTGTATGTTAAGTTATTGCAAGTTTGCAACATGAATAACCAAACAACCATGTGAACACGATGAATCGGTCAACATGATCCTGATCATGCATGTTCATGGATGACGAATGTCGATGTCTTATCAGATAATCATAAATTCAACCCATAGTTTATAACTATATTTGGATTTGGATTTGTCTTGACCGGTATATAAAACAGAAAACCACCCATGTTGAGATTTTTTAAGACACCGCATCATATGTTGATAGTAACATGTTTCTTTTATTTGGTTAGCATCTTGCGTTGACTTGCTACCTTTAATAATCGAATATGGTTTGTTTTTGGTTGCTGGAAAAATGAAGGTTGGGAAGCCAACATGGACAGACAAAAGCGTGGAGTTACAATGGCTCCGATAGTTATCCCTGGAATGGCAAGATGATATCTTTCATATCTCATCGCCGACACTTGCTCTGCTTTGCTGCTACTTCTGCCGCTGTTTGTGTTCTTGTTAAGCTCCCTGTTTCTGTTTTGTATTTGCTTCATGTTTGGTGTATGCTTATCCATATGATATTTGCAACAGAGAAAAACAGAAAAGAAAATATATTGAAACCATGCCTTGAAAAAACATGTGGATTGTGGAGTACTAATTTTGTGTTGCTGAGCCATTTCAATTCAAATTTCAATTTATGCGAAATTCAAATTAAGACATAATGTATGTGAGACAAAGGGTGTAATTTTTCATGGAAAATTGAAAATGAAGCTAAATGGACCGTGAGCGGGCTATTAAAACCCGATCTGCAAACCGACCCGGAACCCGTTAGACAAGCCAAAAAACACAAGTCCACAACCCCTGCCCCTGTGCCACACTTGATCCCCTCGTTTCTTCCTAGGGTTTATTAGGGTTTTTGTTTAGGTGTCCATTTCCGGTTCAAACACATTCAACGCCATGGCAATACGTCGCGGTCGGAGCCCAACGCCAATTCTCACTTCTATTTTCTGCAAGGGACGCCTGAACTCCTCTTATTTCATTTTCAATCGCTACTTCGACAGAAACCAAATTTTAACCCTAAACGCGAAAGCTCTTAGTACCTCTGCTATCCCAAACGAGTACCAGAGCCCACCCCCACAACACCACCAAACCCAACCACTCCCACCGTCATCTGATCCTAGGGTTTTTCATGGCCAACGAAACCCTAATTTTTATAATCAATGGAACCCACAAAACCAGGGTTATTATCATCCTCAACAACACATCGGAGGTCCTGGTAACAATCAGTTTAATTGTCAAAATCAGGGAAGGGGATTTCCTAATCAGGGCCAGGGTTATCCTGATCAACGACAGGGCTATTCTCAACGAGAAAGCCCGAATCATTGGAATACCCAGTAGAATCGCAGCTATCCTCAAGAACAAAATGCTAATCAGATGAATACACAAATGCCCAGAAGCCCAAATTAGTGGGATAACCAAAATCAAGGATACCCTCAAGGTAGAAATTATAACGAAAGGGCCCCACAGAGTCAAAACCCTAGTCAATTGAGCCGGGAAAGCAGGAAATGGAATCAAGGGCATGTGGTGGAGCATCCGCAGCCTGAGCCAGTTCCCTTCCTAGTATATTTAACGCATTTGTGTCATGAGGGGAAGCAATCGAATTGATGGATAAAGGAGTTAAAGCTGATGCTAATTGTTTTTTGTCGTTGTTTGAGTTAATTGGCAATCCTAAGTCACTTGAGGATGCGAAGAAAGTTCATGATTACTTCTTGCAGTCGACCTCTAGGAGTGACCTTAGATTGAACAATAAGGTGATTGAAATGTATGTGAAATGTGCTAGCATGACCGATGCGCGTAGAGTTTTTGATCACATGCCTGACAGGAATATGGACTCTTGGCATTTTATGATAAATGGGTATGCAGACCATGGCTTGGGAGATGATGGGTTGCAGTTGTTTGAGCAGATGAGGAAATTGGGGGTGAAACCGAATGAACATACTTTCATTGCAGTTCTGTAGGCTTTGGGTAATGCAGAAGCTATAGAAGAAGGGTTTATACATTTTCAATTAATGGAGAGTGAATATGGAATTTCTCCAGGGTTTGAGCATTATACGGTGCTTATAGGTGTTCTTGGAAAATCTGGTCATCTTTATGAAGCTAAAGAGTATATTCAGAAAAAACCGCCTTTTGAGCCAACTGCTGGAGTTTGGGAGGCTTTGAGGAATTATGCTGGAACTCATGGAGATGTTGATCTTGAGGATTATGCTGAGGAGGTGATGGTTGATCTTGATCCATCAAAGGCTGTTGTTAATAAAATTCCACACCACCACCAAAGAAGCGTACTGCAATCACCGTGCTAGATGGAAAGAACAGAATCAGTGAATTTCGAAATCCAACCTTTACAAGGATGATGAGAAACTGAAGGCCTTGAAAGCATTGAAAGGAGGTTATGTGCCTGACACAAGGTATGTACTTCATGACATTGAACAAGAGGTAAAAGAGCAAGCTCTGTTGTACCACTGAGAGATTGGCAATTGCATTTAGTCTAATCAGTACCCCTGCAAGGCAAACTCTTAGGATCATCAAGAACCTCCGTGTATGTGGTGACTGTCATAATGCCATCAAGATCATAACTAGGATTGTTGGGAGGGAATTGATTATTAGAGACAACAAGCGTTTCCATCATTTTAAGGATGGCCAATGTTCATGTGGTGACTATTGGTAAATTCTTCCCACTTGGATTTTGGTATGTAGAGTTCCAGAATTTTAGGCGATATGCAACAAGCATTGATGTGAACAGAGGAGCTGTTGTTGACTTGTTGCTAGTGAAAAATGTACCATTAAAGTATCATGGTTAAATTAAAGCAGCAAGATATTTACATTAATTAGTTGGTGAAACAATGCACCTCATATTGTCGTACCATGTTATAATAATATAGCATTCATTGGATATACAATGCTCATTATGCGTACCTATGAAGCTCACACAACACATTACGATTTAATTTTTTATCATTTTTTCTTTTTCTTCTTTCTTTGTCTCCTTTCTTCTATGTAATTTTTCTATAGTTGATTTTTAGCATGTTTCAAATGTGAAGACTCCGATAGACACATGAACAAAAAAATTTCTAGATTCTTTAGTCATTTCTCATTAGATACTTTCTGTTTTGTTAGGTATGAAAGATGAACAACAAGCTAATGCAAGCTTCATCTAAATACCATATGTCCTTCTGATTTTGTGTGCATAGATGCAACTGTTTTTTGATGAGTGGGATTATGTAGCCTATTAAAGATGCATAACAAGCTTTGCACGTATCATTACATGATGAACCTATTCTTTTGTAATATAATTATGATAAAAATCGCAGGATAGTATAATATTTGCTCTAAATATTTCAAGTTCTTTGATAAAGTTACAAGCAACCGATTTTCCCTCTTTCAGTGTCAACCTACCAGACTAATCTTTTAACCAAACCCCTTTTTCTTCCCTCAAAGAGGCAGCCTTTCCTCTCTATCCATGTAAAGTGTAATCTAAAGTGAAATGTTGGAAAAAAGTGTTAGAAATGTACATCTCAGATCAGAAAAGTTTTTAACAAACTATTTCCACTGGAAAGAGAAAAGCTTCATTTAAGTCATGGTGGTTTTCCATAATCTAAATCCTCCATCACTCCAATATCCAGAGCTGGAGAACAAAATGCTGGAATCTAAAAAGTAATCAGATAAAATGATTCAATCGAAAGCCACCGAAGCAACCTATAGATAAAGCTTCTTGATAAGCTAAACTAAACTCTCAATAACTGCTATATTATCAAAGTATTCTAACATCTTGTAGAAAAACATAGTAAAAGGGTTTAGCTTGACTCCTTCCAATCAAACTTCAAGTACTAGAAACAAGAAAAATATTCAAGACATGATGAAATAGTAACAAAATCACAGAAAATATTCATTTTAGATATGTTAAAACAAAATAGAATATTCATCAAAATCTCAGAAGGCTTCACGTTCACAACCAATGCCAACGAAGGATACAGGACAAAAGAGAAAAACAAACAATCAAACAAAAGGCAAGGGTTTTTGGACATACATTAGCATTTCTACTCATGAAATGACTAAAGCTTGACTGGCAACGTATCTTCGAAATCTAGAGACCAGAAGATGACCTTTATGTCAAACTTGAGGGACTCTACAGATCTTTTTCTCATCAATATTAACTTTGAATAGATGACGCTCCGTAAACTCAATTCAAATCCGACAATGTCTTCCCTTATTATCAGCTACGACCTTCTTTTTCAAGTAATATCATAATTTAAGTCATAAGGAAAGGCAGAAACTCTTCCCAAATGAAGTTTAATTTCGACTTCGCACCGCAAGTAAGAAACAGAAGAAATTACCAATTCGAAGGCAAGGTATACATTTGCAGATAATCTCTTTCCCTCTTTTATTATAGTAGCTAACAAGTCCAGTCCCTTGGCAACTCCTGCACACCCCAGTCCATTCATATACCACTTCCCGACAATCCTACAAACAAAACCCATAAAAAACTCAAGCAATTCAATCTCTAAAACCCAAGTTTTAATCTTGAATCAAATTAGAAATTTTTTTTTAGACCTGAATTTGGGGATCACATTGGAGTCGCTTATCAATTTCTTCAGCAGTCACAGGGGAAGAATCAGGGTATGTTATAGGAAGAGGAAGAGGGTCATCATCATTAGTCAAATAACTATCTCTATTCCTCGACCACTTTTTAACCTTAATGCTGCTACCTGCTGGCGCTTCGAAGTTGTCTTGTCCAATTCGGACACCTCCTCCGTAAATGTCGGAGGTTTTCGTGGTCGTGGTCGGGAACTGGAACCACTTGGGGAATATTGGGCAGCGGGAATGTCGCCGCTGGTGGTGAAGCAGCGGATTGAGGTTCGGGATAGGATAGGGAGGAGTGGAGATGGCTTTGCGTGAAAAAGGCTTGGGTGACAAGAAAGGGCGAGGATTTTGCAAAGTTCGTTGCAGTTTTGGTTATGAGTTTTCCAAAGAGGATTGTGGCGGGCCAACTGTTAGTTTCCTTACCAGTTTTTTTGGTCTTAATTCTTACAATGTCAATTTTGGTCTTGGAAGCAGCATCCTGGAATTGGTTTATTCATCTGTGTCTATTTGTTCTGTGTTAAAAAAGGGTGAAAACTCAAAATTTTAAATCGTTGCACTTTCATGTTTTTTTTTTTTTTCATATAATTTTGTATTGTGTTAAAAATTATCAAACCTATCTATTTATTTTTTAAACAGTAAAAGTGATTAAATAAAAAGAAATAAGAAAGTTTTTGGCCAAGAAAAAAAAAGAAATAAGAAAGTTTGAATGTCAGAGGCAGAGTAAAATCAAAATTGTTCAGCCTGTCAGCCAACATAAATCAACTCACTCTTCTTCATCATTAACTGTCAAAGGAGTTTTAGTATTATAATTTAATGTAATGTAATGTAATACTATGTTTTATCGGTGTATAAGGGATTTGTGTAGTTACAGTTTTCCCTGGAGCTCGATTTTGATTTAGCAAGATCAAGCAATTCCAGCATTGCTTGATTAGAGACATAAAAATATCTAAACCTTCCCTAAAGAAACAAGCAGCCGATGGATCTCTCTCCGCTTTCCCCACCAGTCTGCGTGAAGATACTCACAAAGGCCACAACTTCCCGATGAGATCATTCACTTGGCGCTGAAATTTTTGTTGCTCTCTTATATCCTTCTTTATTAGCATTATGCTGATAGATGATTTCCAGGAGACACCCTGAAACAGAAGCATAATCATTCGTTTAATTTGAAAAATGAAATAAAGCCTTGCCATAAACTTTGGAGGAAGCAAATCAGACTCCTTTGAGAATTTCTGTCTATATCAAAAGAGGGATGATGAATTTTTCTTACTGAAGATTTATGCCCTTCTTCCCTTGTAGTTCGTCAGGAATTGAACCATCAAGATTGTTGTTCTGAAGGAATCTGTCAACATGCACAAAACCATCAGGTATGAAAAAGGGAATACTTTTGATAAGAATTTCTATTTTTTGTTCCCACTGGCATACACTTACATCTCACGAAGATTCCCAAGTTTGCCAAATGATTTGGGGATTGGCCCTGTAAAGCTGTTATTCTCCAAATGCCTTCCAGGGATAATGAACAACACCAGATTAATGTTAGTGCAATAAATTTAATGAAGCAGAGAAGAAATTTAGGAGGGAACACAACACAATCAGCGAGCATTTTTGTCAGAGAACATACAGAGTTTCAAGCCGACCCAATGAATACATCTCTGGTATGGAACCCGAGATTTGGTTGCCCCCTAACCAACTGCAAGTAGATGATTCCAATTAATAGCCATGAACAGGTGATGTTGGAGAGTCTAGTACCCTAACTGAAGAAGCTAGTTTACTTACAGATGATGGATTGCAGTTAAATTGTCTATAGTTGGAGCTAGACTGCCAGATATTCCAAAGTTTGTAAGATCCCTTCATATCATCAAGAAAAAGAAAAGGAAAGGAATAAAAAGGAGACATAGGACACAAAATCAGTATAAAAGTAACCAAATTATGTGTTATATTATGGTTAGCACATTTTTTAGAGGGACTAATTGCGCTCAAGGGGCTGCTTCATGTGATACTAGTAAATTTAGCACAACTTACAGAGAAATAACTCTAGCCATTTTATCTTTAGAACAAGTAACTCCTGTCCATGAGTTCTCCAGGGGCAAACATGGATCACCTGTCCAATCAGGCGGTGGGTTGTTGAAGCTTCTTGCCAATTCTTCCATTGCCGCCACTGGGAAATGCAGAGAGCAGACATTATTAAAACCAATAAAAAAATGGATTAGTATGATGGATACTGAAACAAGGGACTGAAAATCAGTTACCATCTCTTGTAAGAGTCCTTCCACCAAGAGGCAAAATCTGATAGATTTCACCAGCATTGATCAGGGGCCCATCAGAACTTTTAACATCAGGAGTCAGGCTGATTAGTGTCTGCCCAGACAGAGGCCATTGCGGTGAATACACAGTCACGCCACCAGTTGAGACATTGAGATTACTGTAGAAAGTCTTCCCATTTACTGCAATACTAAAGACTCTCCAGGCATTTGTGTCTGGTTTTCTGTTGTCCTGGAAATACAAGGAAATGTGGTAGTTGGTACTAGGAAGTGACACGGGTGGCCACTGGACTTCAAGTTTCTTCCCTGGACTTGTTGTGATTGCCGTTACAAATGCTTTGGCTGGTGGCTTGTTCCAAAATTCTGAAGTGCTTACACTGGATTGGCTTGAAACAACGGCGTTTTTGTCCTTGAATGGTTGCCACAATCGATAATATGGATCATCTGGAAAGCTAGGTTCAAAAGATTGCACATTAACCACCGGAATTCTTGCAACCTTATAATTCTATGTTCCTTTTTCCTTCTAATTATGACTTCTGTTTCATTCCCAAATTGAATGAATGTGCAAAAAAGTCTATCTGATCCAAATGTATGATATTTTTCCTAATACCGTCTATGATCTAAACCCAATTTGGGAATTCACCTGATCACTACAAACCTTCAAATGTTCAAACTGAAAGGAAAAGAAAAATGGTTTAGTTTCCTTACCTGATGCTGTCCTCCTGATTTCCAAAGGTACTTCTTGCCACTGTAGCAAGAGCATATTCATTAAAATCTGTGGAATTATACATAGAATCATCAAGAAAAAGCACTTCAATGGCTGATATAAAAGGGCTTGAACTCGAAGCAGTTTGCTTATTTCTTGCAAGGCAAACGCTCAGGGTTGTGGTAGGGGCAACCACAATGACCTCATAATATGAAGTTAGTCCATTTGCATAATCCTCTGTGGTATTAACAACGCTCCATTTAGTCCCTCCAATAATCTGATCAAACACTGGCGGCTGTTCCCCTCCATCAAAACCCCCATAATAATAGATAGTTCTCACTAGATATTTCCCTCCTTTAATTGCCTGGAATGTGTAGCAATATTTTCTTGCTGACTTATCGGGAAAGTATCGCAATGTTGTTAGTATGGGCAGCAAATCTTTGTTCTTAAGAGCTGTTTTGTTTCCAACAAATGTAAAGCCATCATCAGGGATATAGGTGAGTTTGGTGCCAGGTATAGTCTGTTTAACCGAGGAGCCACAGGTTATCAGCAGACCTGCATCAAGCGACCATGCATAAGAGAAACAGAAAGTAGCCATAATTGACAAAAAGTGAACAGAATTTACATTGTAATGAAAACAATTCATGTCCTAGCTAAATTCACCTTTCAAATTAATTTAAACAGAAATGAAATGAATGAATGTAATCCTTTCAAAATTTTCCTGTATGACCCTTTAAACCAATGAGAAAAATGCAATATTGCCATCAGTGAAGTGTGTAATGGATACCTGTAGGCTGATCAGGGGAAGAATGGACGAAGAAGGGAATGCTAACCAGCCATAGGAGGAAGATGGAGAGGGACATTTTGTCAAGGGGAGGAAGGTAACCTCCAAAAAGGGATTTGGGAAGTTCTGTTTATTTTGTTGGGAGAGAGAGAATGAGAAGAGAAGGTTTGGGTGTCCGACTGCTTTCAAATTATGAAGAGGTTGACACCTCAAGGGCTATGCATGAAGATAGAAATTCATCTCAGAATCCATGGTGGACATGCTTGACCAGGTCACCCCCTCCATTTTTTCCTTGATTGGTATATTTCAAAATTCTTCATCCTTTTATTTATCTAGTTATTTACCTTTTCCTTTTTCAGAAAAACCATCCAATTTTAGTACTTTTTAATTTATGCCTAAAACAAGATAAAGCTTATATTGAATTAATTTTTAAACAAAATAAATACACGTTTTTCACAAAAAAAATTATTGGTACTAAAATTTGAATTATCAAACAAACGGATCAAACAAGGCATCAAGCCAACTAACAAAGCCACAAGCAAGCTACAGGCAAGATACTTTTAGCTGATGTTTAAATGCAATTGCATTGTAAGTTTTAATTATCATAAGTTAAATTCAAATATCAATTTTATTAAAATTTATTCAATTTTATATTGAATTTTTTTTTTCAATTGCAGCTAAAATGATTTTTTTTATCACAATTTTAATAAATTTTATTGAAATAAATTTCATCTTTTATTCAAATGGACCTTTAATATGCGATGAATGCAACTTGATGAAGTATAGAATTTAAATAAATACGTATTTTCGAATTTTTTATACTTTAATTAAAGCTTTACAATTAAGGTGTGACGAAAAGGTATCTGGATTGGGATGGTTAAATCCATAATATATTTCAGGGCCACGATCTCAATAGACAGCGTCTGTAGCTCAGCGGATAGAGCGTCTGTTTCCTAAGCAGAAAGTCGTAGGTTCGATCCCTACCTGACGCGAAGGCAACAAGTATCCAATTTCTAATCTTTCTTTTGTCTTTTTCCGATTAAACGCGCCGTACTAGGTTTATATGCTAGGCGTGATGATGAAGCTAAAACCCTAGCTTCCATACCCAAGGTTCTGAATTGTTGTTTTTGCGGAGCAGAGATGAAGGTAATTGAAATCAATGGAAGTACTACTCTCTCGCTTGCCCTCTTCACCGAGGTCACCAACTCCAAGTACTCTCTCCCTTTCCTTTTCAAACCCAGCCTCTTTTTTTTTTAATAATAGTTTAATGAAAGATTTATGCAGTAGTTTCTAATTGTTGATATTTTTGAATCGTTCTAAATCTTGGAAAAAAGTATCAAATTTTGTTGATAATTTATGCAATTATGAATTCTTAGTGCTGTTTCACCCAATGTGAGGTGTTGAGCTTTAATTCCATTAGCCTGATTAGGGTATATGGAAATTTTCACATCCCATTAAGCTCTTTATTATGGGATTTCTTAGAAAGTACTAACCTTTTTTTTTTCTTTGTATATGCTAATATTGGGTAATTAACTTGTCAAAATGGCTGACTCACCTGGTAAAGAAGTGTGCTCCTCCTTTTATTGATTGGGTTCGAATCGATAAGAGGTCGTGGGGAAGTAACTTTTCATAAATTCGCTAGGTTCAACATAGATAAGCCTGTTTGAGCCGATCTGGAGAGAGGATGTTTTGGGCAAAGTCCAAGAAGCCTTTGCCGCTTAATAAAAAAAGTGATAGAAAATGCCTCCAAGAGAAAGGAAGAGTTCTTTTTTCTTTTCTTTTTTGGGTCTTTCTCTAGATAAGAGAAAGGCTTTGTTTATAGACTGAGTTCCTAAATTTTGATTAGTATCTTGCAGGGAACTCCTGGACTCTATGCAAGCTGGGAAACTTGATCCTGAAGTTGCATTTCTTAATGCATCACTTGTATGATTCCTGAATCCTGAGTTTATATTTCTAGCCAACTTTAATTTTGCCCTCCTTCGAGGTCCAGATGCTTTTTCATATAGTTTCTCTTATTGATTTCATGTGTCTGGATGTTTGAGACAGATTCCAGATGTTTTCCCTGTTCTAGCTGCGGCACATAAGACGCTTATTGCCAAGTCACGGGATTCATTGACTACGCGTACACTCCATTCTGAACTTGTTTACAATTACTCAGGATCTAAACATGTAATCATCTTAAACCATTTATGACTTTTTATTTCATCACCCAATTTTCAGTTATTTGAAATTTAACTACCGCAAAAACATTGATTATTTCCAGATTACAGAATCCTTGAAAAGATGTGGTATTTCTGAAAATTCAAGTTATGTCCTTGCAGCTCGATTTAATGCTTCTCCTGATGAGGTGATACTACATTGTATGCATGTTTTGCATTGGGCTATTCACTGTTTTGTTTTCATACACATCCGTCCTATTCCATGTTAATGATTTATTAGAATTCTTGTAGATGAAAGCTGTGGAGAAGCTTATCAATGGAAAAGAGGTTGATTTAGAGGAGTTGGAAGGAAGAGCAGACCAAGCTCAGATCCAAAAGGTTTGTGAACTTGATCTCCCAATTTTGTCGCTTTCATCTCCTTTTGCCTCTTCTTGTAGCAGTAGATGATCATTTTCTGGAATTCTTCAGCACTACAAAATATCTGGCCCCGAGCTAGGCATCTCCACTCTTGCAGATGCCATAACATGCAGAATTGCTGCTCGAGATGCTTTATGAGAGTGGTGAGTTGCTGTCTTATCTTTATACTTTGATGTTTTTCCCATTTCCTACACTTCCCTAGTCTTTTTTCAGTGATGGAATTTGATGTTTTGTGATTGCAATGTAGATTCAAGCGGCATTGCTTCTCAGGCCATGAAGCGAACAGCAAAGAAATGCAAATACCAAGGTATTTGTGATTAAACTATTCTAGTTAAAATGCGGGAATGGCATGGAGAATGCTTGGAAACTGAGGTTTTGTAATTCTATTTACTCTAAAATTCATACTTAAAACTGCATATTACACCTTTTTCGTATAAAAACAGTTGCTAGCTGTTATGGAAAGGAAAATCCAAAGCTTGACTCCCAGTTTTGAAGTTTCTTAAAACGCGATCCAAACACGTGCTAACTCCTAACTAATGGTTACGCTTTTATAACGAGACTGCAACACGTGCCTTTGCGTACCATCCCAAGCTTCCAACGCAGCGTTTTGCTTCGCTGCTAAGACTTCGCGCCGCTTTATAACGACGCTAACCGGTAATATCCGGTGACCTTAGCAAAAAGCAAGGTGGCATTTATTTTATTAATTATTTAATTTTAATACCCTTGAATTTCTCTTTTGATGGGTTATATGGCCCTCAAATTTTCTCATTTACCCTTGCACTCACGGGGAAACAAAACAGCCATTTATTTTAGTCTTTAATATTATATATATATATAATTACTAACTTTTAAGGCTCCCTTTTTTTTTGCTGATTAATTACTTTTTTTTTAGAAAAAAAAAGAAGATAATTCACAAAATAAAAGCAAAAGGAAAGCAAAAGAAAAATAAAAAGCAAATTAAAAGAAATGAAAACAAGGAAATGGGGTATTAACTGGTAATGTCCGTATTGGCAAGAAAAGAAAAAAAGAAAACTGGAAATAGCCGGTGACTATAGTGGCAAAGTCGAGTCTATAAAAGCCACACGTTCATCTGAAATCGGCAATCGTAAGCTCTAACTCCCAAAAAAAGTTTGAAATTTGGCTATTTTCTCTCTCAAATCATTTTTGTAAATCAATAGAATCTAAAAATGGGCACTTCTCAAAGCCGGGAAGATCGCATCAGTGACTCGGAACCTGAAGAGGACTATGAAGAAGAAGAAGAGGAGCAATACGACGACGCTTCAAGCGATCAGCAACACACCCAATCTTCTTCTTCTACTTCCTCCTCAGGTACTCACAAAAGTCTCGAGGATATCGATGCTAAACTCAAATCCCTAAAACTGAAATACAACTCTGTTCAACAACAGCCAAAACCCAATCTAAAAAACCCAGTAAAGCTTTACCTTCATATTGGAGGAAACACCCCTAAAGCCAAATGGGTAGTTTCTGAAAAACTCACTTCTTATAATTTCATCAAGACACCTAAAATAAACGGTGATGACTATGAGGATGGTGATGAATCAGACGGTGCGGGTGGAAAAGGAGAATCTTGGTGGGTTCTGAAAGTGGGATCCAAAGTTAGGGCTAGGGTTTCAACTGAAATGCAATTGAAAATGTTTGGGGATCAAAAAAGAGTTGATTTTGTTGATAAAGCTGTTTGGGCTTTAAAGTTTTTAACTGATGAAGAGTATAGGAGTTTTGTGACCCAGTTTCAAAATTGTTTGTTTGAGAATGTTTATGGCATGGAAGCTAGTGAAGACAATAAGGTTAAGATTTATGGAAAGGACTTTATTGGGTGGATGGAACCTGAGGCAGCAGATGATTCTATGTGGGAAGATGCAGAGGATTATAGCTTGGGTTCGACTCCAGTTAAAGGGAGTCAAGAATTGATGGAGGAGTTTGAGGAGGCAGCAAATGGAGGTGTTCAGAGTTTGGCTTTAGGTGCGTTGGATAATAGTTTCTTGGTAAATGATTTGGGTGTTCAGGTTTATAGGAACTTTAACCGTGGGATCCACGGGAAAGGTATTTGTGTGAAGTTTGATGGTGGGGAGTCTAGGAGCGGGGGAAATGTGTCCGATTCAACACCGAAAAAGGCACTGTTAATGAGGGCTGAGACGAATATGATGCTTATGAGTCCGGCAAATGAAGGGAAGCCTAATTCTACTGGGCTTAAGCAGGTTGATCTTGAGACAGGGAAGATTGTTACGGAATGGAAGTTTGAGAAGGATGGGACTGATATTACGATGAGGGATATTACCAACGATACCAAAGGGTCACAATTGGATCCATCTGAATCTACCTTTTTGGGCTTGGATGATAATAGGTTGTGCCAGTGGGATATGAGAGACAGGAAAGGGATGGTCCGGAACATTTCCACAAGTGATTCACCTGTATTGCATTGGACACAAGGGCATCAGTTCTCGAGAGGGACGAATTTTCAGTGCTTTGCAAGTACTGGTGATGGATCAATTGTGGTTGGGTCACTTGACGGGAAGATCAGATTGTATTCAAAGACCTCGATGAGGCAGGCCAAGACCGCTTTTCCAGGACTTGGTTCGCCAATTACTTATATAGATGTTACCTATGATGGGAAGTGGGTGTTGGGCACAACTGATACATATCTGATCCTCATTTGCACTCTGTTTACTGATAAAGACGGGAAGACAAAGACTGGATTTACTGGTAGAATGGGGAATAAAATTCCTGCACCCAGATTGTTGAAGTTGACTCCTCTGGATTCACATCTAGCTGGGAACAATAATAAATTTCATGGTGGCCATTTCTCATGGGTAAGATCGAATTCCTTTTATACCTGACACATTCCTTTTATTAGTTGTTTTCAGTAATAGTGTTTTTCACTTTTCTTTGGAGTCTGCTGAACTTATTTCCTGTTTCTTTAAGTTTGGATTCTTGTTTAACTGAACTTTATTTGTTTAATGTGCATATCATTGGATGTTTCATGTATTAGGTGTATCTACTTTCTTTTTGTATTCCCTTGAGGTTCATCTATGGCCTGAAAGTTCAAAAACAAAGTCAAGCAATGAAATTTGTCATGAACCTTAAAACCTCACAGCATAGTTTCATTCATGTTTAGCTTGATGTTTTTCTTCATTATTGACTGTTCTAAATGCATCATACCATTGCACTTTCCGTTGCCTTATTTGTTTTATGTGAAGAGCCTTTTGCACATGCTTTAGACCATCTGTTGCTTGAGTTAGGCCATTGTGCGTGCTTTAAGTTGTATTAAACAAATTTTCTCCATTCTCCCGTGATTCATTGACATTGGATAGTTTACATGACCATTTGTGTTACTACATCTTGTAACTTTGGTACTACATGACATTAATTACTTTTGGAACTGACTTGCGAATCACAATTCACACTCTCTTTAGGTCACTGAGAATGGTAAACAAGAGCGTCACCTAGTTGCAACTGTGGGCAAGTTCGGTGTGATATGGAATTTCCAGCAAGTGAAGAACAGTGCACATGAATGCTATCGGAATCAGCAGGGCCTCAAGAGCTGTTATTGCTATAAGCTTGTACTGAAGGACGAGTCTATTGTAGAGAGTCGTTTCATGCATGACAAGTTTGCTGTTAGTGACTCACCAGAAGCCCCACTGGTTGTGGCAACCCCCATGAAAGTCAGTTCGATCAGCCTCTCTGGCAGACGATGAGATTGCTCAACACTTTTCTTTAGATGTTTAGACTCCCAGCTGTTTGTAGGCTTGCTTCTACCACACTCATGCTTTGTTTCTGAATTTAAATTTGTTTAATTTTTTTCTTCGTTCTCCCTCCCTCAACATCTTGTACCCGATCTTGGGTTTTGTATCTCTGACTCCCATTCTCTTAGTTGTACACTTGCAAATAGTTATAGGCTTTATGGTAGGTGAAAAAGCTGGGATTGTTGCAACTTACGAGACTGATTGTTCTTGCGCTTGTAAATTATCTTGCATGAGTTTAAATTTGCTTTGCTTCATTCACCATCGGCAGGGGAGGGATTAGGATCCATCGCCAAATGATTGAGTCAGAGGTTCGATACAGGTGCAAGTAACTGGAGATTTGACCCAAACCTTGTGTTGGGTGGGGCTAAAACCTTTTCCTTTAATCCACTAAACTTTGGTCATACTATTACTTCCAAGTGAGTAATAGATAAAAGGTCATATGGCATATACAAAGATAAGGAATACCTGCTTACCATAGGAAATTAGCTCTAATAGAGAGGAAAACAAATAAGTGAACCAGATCATTACAAACGAACAAAAATATTGTTTTTAATGAAAAACAATTATAATATATATTTTTTATATTTGAGACGGATAAAATTCGAATTTTGATTTTTAAAATTACAAATTTAATAATTTACTAACAAATTATGCGAGTCATCACAATATAATTGATATTTGACAAAGTGACAAACTGGACCTCACCCGATTCACTTAAAAAAAGAATAATCCTCCGATCCAATTAAGATCTACGTTTAACTATGGCTAGTTGCATGGCACTTGCAATATTAATGGATTAAAAAAGCTGTAGCCTAATATACATACTGGAACTGTACTTAAATTTTCATCCTGACTTTCGTAGTTATAGATTTGTAATCAAATCAAATCTTAGTTTGACATGGTGTAGACACCCAATTGGGTCCTGACCCAGATTAATTGGACCTGACTCAAATAAGTAAATTCAGTGTAATTTTTACTTTATATTATTATTATTATTTTTTTCTTCTCTTTTCTTTTATTTTCTTTTGTATTTTATGTATTTTATTATTTATTATTATTATATGTATATTTTTACTTATTTATTTATTTATTTTGTTAATATTTATATGTATTTTATTTATATAGTTCTATATTTATTATATATTATAATTTATTTTTTTTTCTTGTAATATTTTTTTTATTTATCTTATTGTATTATCTGTTAATAATTTTTTTCTCTCTTCTTCCGTTTATCTGATTTTTTGTATATCTGATATTATTATTATTATTTTTTATTTATCCTATCTTTTCTAATTATCTATTATTATTTTTTTTATTTGATTTTGGAGGGTTGGGATTGAAAGTTGAAGAATCCCACTGTGAAGGGGAATTCAATCAAGAGAGTCCAGATTGGATTCAAAGATTCCTGATTAATCCCTATAAAAGGGACCTCCTGGAACAGATTGCTGAACACACAGAAAACAGTTAGCAAAAGCTACTGATTAAGGGAATAGGGACGTATAGAGAGCTAAGAAAAGGTTTAGGAGTGTTCCGGTAGATAGCAGAAATTTTTTGAAATTTTTTTGGCGATTTTTTTTCTGAAAATTTTTGGAAAATTTTAGATTCCGGTGAATTTTCCAGCGAAGTTTGAATTTTTCGACGAAAATTTCGGCCAACCTTGAAGTTTTCGGTGACCTGTCCAGTTTTCGACGAAGATTTCCAGAAATCGGTGACCTTCCGACGAACTTCCGACGAAAAAAA